GATTATTTTTCCAGTTACTTGATCAATTGCTAAACATAAAAAATGTCACCTATCAACTATTTTATGATTAATTGCTGACTTGTTTGTCAACTAATTGATTTATTGATTAGTCTAATTCTAAATCAAATATTTAGGGGTTTTCGCCGGTTAATGAGACCATACAAGTAATAAGATCATGTTGTTTTACACTCACTGACTTTGGTCAATCAAAAAACTGCTGATAATTGGTGAATAGTAAAAGACAAAAGGGGAAAAAAAGCAATCCTTAGCTCTAAATTAAACAAATAACTGGTTGTCAGATTGTCATTTTGCCTACATTTTCTTGTTGAATAATTGTTGTCAAAAATCTTTACAGTCACAATAATTGATGGTACAGTGTCACACTCGGGCTGCACTTAACCATTGTTTTGATTATTGATTATTTTAAAGATTTTTTTGGTTTGAATAACCAGTTCATCTTTTGGTGGTAAACATGTCTGTCACAAACCCCTATATCACATCGGACTAATAACAATGTGAAGTATTGTGTCAAATAAGAAGCTAAAATCATAGTTTAGCATTTTTTTTCTTAATAAAAAATTATCAATGGATGATAGGGGTGTAACAATACACATATTCATGCTGAACCGTTCGGTACAGGCCCTTTCGGTTCGGTACAGACGTGTACCACGGTACGAAAATTTTAAGACTATTAAGAATGGCCAATGTACAGAATTGTTTCAAATGCGAAACTTTAAATCTCATGGCGCCCACAGTTGCGGTGGACTTTCTGCGGCTCACAGTTGTGCAGTATTGCGGAGCTAAAAACTAGTAGGAGTTTCCAGAGGACCACATGATGTGACAGACTGTTTATTCTCCTGTCGGCGCTTCCTTATAAGCCTAGTGTGTATGGCTAGCAAATGGGATGGCAAATGCTAACAACAACAACAACAAGCCAGATCTGGAAGACGCTCCAGTGTCATTAAAATCACCCGGTTGGGATCACTTCGGTTTCCTGGTGAAGTCCGAAAAAGGATAAAAACAAGTCGACAAGACGAAAACCGTTTTACAAACTCGACCCATTTATGAACAGCACACAAGCTCAAATTTGGCTGCATAATACTTCTTTCATTTATTTGAAAACTATTTTTTTATTTTTCATATTTATCGCTGAACTTGGTTGTTTGCAGCAGTGTCTTCCTGTTTCATACTGGAAAAGTAATTCAGTTATAGTTACAGCAGACCAATAAGGTGGAATTGTTAATGCTGCACTTGTACTTTTATTTATTTTATTTTGTTTATTTGATATTGAGAACGATGCAGCAGTATTTGTGTTACATTTGTGTACATTGTACATTTAGTTTGATTTACTGAGCTGCTAACAGCTTTTTGGTTTAATACAATAAACAAATGTTTTGGATTAATTATGAGCAGGTTTATTTTTTGTTGAATTTTTCCCCCTTAGCTGAGAACTGAACCGTACCGTACCGTACCGTGACTTCCGTACCAAGGTACGTACCGAACCATGATTTTTGTGTACTGTTACACCCCTAATGGACTATCAAAATATTTGCTAAAATAAATAAATCATTTTCAACTAATTAATTCAGCTCTCCTTTTTTGTTACATTTGTAACATTAACTAACATTTCTTAACATTTCCACCAGTAGTGTTGAAAACTTAGATTACATAATGATTATCTTGGACCCTCTGCCCTCTAGGCAGATATTTGCAAAAAATGAGGGACAGGTGACGAAAACAAAACCCTCCGATTGATCCCATCCCACACATCAAACTCTAAGCTCCTCTCTTCACTCTAACCTGTGGGGAAGCACACTGCTCCTAATCTTACAGCATCCTGCCATGGGTGGTTTTTGGAGGTCAGCCAAGTAAAGCATCTTAAATAACCAGTGACCTTAAATTCGTCTGAACTGATAGACTGGTGGAGTGGCAGCCAGACGGAAAATGTACAAGAGAATTCTCCTGTCTCCCACTTCATGGTCTTATCTCGTATCCGCGCCCTGACCTCTCCCTCCGAAACATTTACACCAAACTGTGCGAGCAACATGGGGTGTACTAAACCTTCCCTGATGCTCACTCACTTTCAAATCTAGGGCACGCGAGTGTTCGACACAAAACGGACAGCAGTGGCAGATTTAAAAATAAAAGATTAAATGCTTGCGAGTTGAAAAAACACAAAATATCTCCCTCTGTCACATGCACGGAGGCATTTTGCCCCTCTTACACACTCGATACAAACTCAATACATGAAAAGCTGATAAGAATACATGGGATGCAGAGTGCACTCTCTTCATGCAATCAATAAATACTAAATCTACTCCAGTGCATGGTTTTATTTAACTGTTATTAAAGCTGCTCTGCTGTTGACTACAAAAGGGGACTTAGTATGAGATTAAAACATTGTGAAGTATTGGAGTGGCGCTCATTCACACACACACAAACACCTGACAGGATAACACCAGCTCAGTGATGTTCCCTTTGGGGGAAACTGTATATTTAGAGTCACGGGATCAAGGTCAAGGCAGGGGGCACATTAGCGGGGCGCGATGTGTTGTGTACACTCTGCTCTTCCGAGGAACACCGCTGTGACAACAGGTCATCTTTTACTCAATATGCCAGGACGCATTACACCCCTCGCTGCGATCATAGATGAGTTCTCATCAGGAAGAGGGAGCGCTTTAATTAAACAGAGCAGATCAGCTCCTCAACGGCGATGACGGATAAGAGAGACAGAAAAAGGAAAAAGCAGGGAGAAATTAGGAAAATTAAAAGTGGATGATACAGAAAATAGAGTGAGTGCCAGCCGGGAAGGAGACTGGAGTAAAAACAGAAGGAACACAGAGGAAGGGTGTGGTAACCTTATGAAGGAATGGCTGAAATCATAATAACAAAATGAATAATTCATAAAGAAATGGAGGGAAGGTTCAGTTCTCTATAATGAGTCTTTTTGTGAGGTCGCAATTTGGTAACCTAAGCAGGCCTTCAAGAGTGTGCATGTGTGTATGTGTGTGTGTGTGTATATGTGTGTAAGAGAGATACTGCTGATTCAGTAGGGATGGTGAAGGTGACCCTCGCCTGCTCCTGCTGCCTCTCTCACCACCTGATATTGATCCCAGTTGTCCAACTCAGATCTGACTCAAGGATACAAGGATTCATTGCCTTCTTGACATTTCAAATATGGCACTGTGTAAATTGTAACTCCGCACACTATCATTGATTAGTTATTGATCTGCTACCTCGGTGAGAGTCTAACCACTTAACGGCAGCTTAACTGAATCTCAATGTGTACAGGTGTGGGCATGAGCGGCGGCTCCAGCCTGTTTGTTGTTGTTGTTGTTGTGGAAAATTTCATATCAGACTGCACATGAACTGTTGAGAACTAAGAATAGAGCAGACTACAACTGCAGAATTCAAATGCAGTGGCTGGGAGCAAAGGTTTGGACCACAGATGGGAGAATGTGCAGTAGCCCAGCCCTGTCAAGGGTAAACTGCCTAGCACACACATGCAGATGCATACTTTGTTTTCACCACACCTTAAAACAGCAGCATGAATATGCATGAGGCCGAAGGACACAGGAGGTACATAATTAGACAATCAACAACTCCCGGATGACACGCATTACTACGACAGAGGAGAAATGAACCTCACTTCATCCTCCCCTCTTGTTAGCAGTAAGAGGGGAGTCGTGTTTGCACGTCGACACGCATTTCCACTTACTGGTGGCTCAAACTTGGGCTGAAGAACCGGAAGCGAAAAGGAGGACACATGCAGAATAAAAACCCAAAGGCTCTGCTCACTTAAAACAGGTGCTGCACTCGAAGATGAGAAAACAAACAGCGTGAGGTCCAGAGCAGCATGTGTGGACGGTCCAACGCCACATGCCTCTGCTTCTTGTCCAACAAATTAATGATTCATATCAACAGTATAACCTTGAGTGCTCTCCAGAAGGAAAGAACAATGCACACTATTAGGTCAGAGTCACACATCCATCACTTAAAAAAAAACCAAAAAAACAAGCTGCCCTGTATGGAACAGGGGACACACCCTAAACAAACAACAAACACACACACAGAGCTGCAAGACACTTCTTCACGCTCCTACTACACACATGTATGCACACACACCTGGCTGTGAACTAACGCTGAGCACATTTTGCAAGTCAGCCTCATGGCAAAATGGGTGCAGATGCAATGAGCATTTGTTTACATTTCATTAAGACAATTTATGAAGCAGGAGATTGGAAAGTGGGGAAAAAAAAATTAGAAATAACCTGTGAAAAACTTTCCAGATGTAGTCATGCACACACACAACTTGACAAAATGACACTCCCATCTTTGAGATCTCTCTTCCACACATAGTTTACATGCACACACACTCCCTCCCTCCTTCCACACACACACTTGGATTACACACAACAGACTCTCAGATTTCTCATATTTAGTGAAAATACTGACCTGCCCTGGCGCTGACACACACACATTCTCTTCAAGCAGTTCAGCCTTTCAAAGAGGAGCCGTTTGAACGCGTCTATATACATTGACCCGACTGAGGTTAAATAATGAGCCAGCACTTAAATAAATACGAGTTGCTTGATTTGAGAAGGAAAAAAATAAAAATGACAAAAAAAGCAGCAGAATTTTTGGTGGGAATGCAGTGATGAGAGTAGGATGCGACCACCGTATCCCAGAGAAAGTCAGGGACGATGTGCACGGCTGACGGGATATTTGGACACTAGTGATGCTCTGAGAGCTGAGGGATGTTGTAGAGAGAGAGAGGAGAGAGAGAGGAGAGAGAGGCTGAAATAACACACACATACACTATCGGGCAAATCTGACAGCGGACGCTCATCATTTTAAGCAGCTGCTGCACTGCTATAAGCACAACAGCGTGCAGAGATGAATGCATCCAAACACGCTATTTCAACTTATGTCAAGTGTTTTTTTTCTTTTCTTTCTTTCTCCCCTCCTCTATTGTACAATAACTGCCGGAGACTTCTTACCTTCATGTTCGCATCAGATCCTTCCTTCCCTGCGGTCTTCGTTTGGTTTCGGATCATCCAGGTTAATTATTTACGGATGCATTTGGGTTTTTTTTTTCTTTTCTTCTAGTCGATGCAATTACAAGGATTCAAAAAAAAAAAAAGAAGGGGGACAAACGTCGGTACTATCGATTAGACCGGCTAGAGGTGTCATTGAACTGCAGGCGCGGTGCTCTCAGGGCGTCAATTGAGGAGGATTGGATTAGATCAGATAGCCCAGGCTACTTTCAAAGAGTGGTTAGGTTGATGCCCCCGCTCCTACAAAAATGCACTTTTTGGAGGAAAGAAACAATGATAAATGGCAAATGAGAAGGTTAGCCTGAGAAGTTAGGGAGCGCGGAGGGGAGGGAATAAAAGAGTTAAAAGTACCGCCCTCTACTCAGGATCTCTGTACCTGCATCAGCAGCATCACTTTTCGCTTACGAGTTACAAGCTGGACTTAAAGGCGTGAGAACGTGAATGTGCCAGCATTACCTGATTGTTTACAGAGTCAGGGCTGCCCTTAATGTAGTCATGAAAATGCCCATTTTAAAAAGAAAAAAGTAATAATCGCTAAAATTCATAATGAAATACATAAATCGTAAAATTTCCTCCAAGTTTTGTATTAGATGTAATAATATATATAGAATATGTAAAAAAGTATAATATGTAATAAGACTAAACTAACAATACTGAAATGCTACTTTTGACAATTTTATCCGCGTAAATTAATTAAATTAAGTATTACTAAGGGCACAATATATTTTTGTCTTTTATTTATAAAACTATATCAACTACATTTGCTTCTTGCATAATTTACGCTCTCTGTGTGGCTTATAATCACACTTTGTTGTACAGACGAGATAAAAATCTCTTATCGACGTCAATTCCGCTCTTTACCTTTAATCTGGTGCATTGTGGGAATAGGAGTACTTCCCAACATGCACACTATTCAAGAGCAGCACAATAAAACTACATCTACCATAATTCCTTGTTCCTAGTTTACTCCACCACAAACAATCATGGCGTCGCACGGACAAGATACCGTAGAGAAAAAACCGGCGGCGGTGTCGTTTGGTTTCACTAAAACAGTTAGTAAATTTAAACCTCCGACCCTCGACGCTCCGACTAAGAAAGAGGAGAAAGATTACTTGACCGGAATTGATGGAAATGAGTTGCAAAGGTACGCCTGGTATGCCATTGCTAACGTAAAATGTATTGGTCTGCGTTAGCGTAACGGCTACGATTCCAATGTGACACCGACAAGTGAAATATTGCGCGTTGTTAGCATATGTAAAATTTGTGTACAACTAATATGGCTACAATAAGTAAAGTAAAATCTTGTTCCTAAGCTGCTCTGCCTGCGAACTCTCTAACTTTCTTCTGTCTTGCAGTTCAAAACCTACTGATAAGCCGAAAGAGCTCATCATACCTCTGATCCAAAAGAACCGCTGGCACAAACCGGACCGAGCGGGCCAGAGCGATGAAAGTGGCGGCAAAACAACCCAAGAGAGCGACTCCGTGGAGTCTCAGGCTGTCAAAGAACTCATTGAAGGTGTGTTCAAGATATAGGAGGGTTTTTTTGTCACAAACAGTACGGGCAGAGAAATGAGAAGTTTCACAAGGCTGTACAATACCACGCACGTGTATAAACATATTCCTTTAACAGTGTAAAAAGTCAAATAATGAGGAGTAAAAACATTGTAAACCTAAAGTGCAGTGTGTGTACATGTGTATGTTTTGTCATGCTTAAGATCGTGTCCATGTGCATACGTCTGTATGTCATACACATATTTACATTGAGCCAGTATGCAGTTATATTTAGTGTGTGCATTCTGTGTCTGGTGAGAATGATGAGTGCACCATTCACTCACACAAAGCTCCATAAACCTCTCCAACTTTTGTTTGTAGATTCCCGGAGGCAGCTTGAGCTATGGCAGAATGGACCTCCATCAGAGAGTAACCTCAACCTGGCCATTCCCTTGTTGATGCAAAACAAAGCGCCAGAGGGGTTTGAGGATGGAGACCATGTGAAGGTGGACCTGCGGCCTGAATCTGTAAGTATAAAGACCAACACAGGGACACATACTCCCTTTACTCTGTAGTTGAGAATGTGAGTTTGTCCATAAACTCTTGTAGAGTCAGTAAAAGAGCATTTTTGATTTGATCTTTTGAATGGAGTCTTGATAAAAATGCACATTTTACGTATGTCTTTGTTTTTATTGACATCACATTGGGAACTTTCTTTTGCAGCTCTAGTGGAGTGATTCAGAAATTTCAGAAATATGCAATTATTTGCTAGCCTAGAGATAACATTAACATCATAGCTGGTACACCCAAACATGAGAGAAATGTGAAGAGATTTCACTGTCACAGGTAAAAATCTTAAAAGAAGAAAATGCCACTGAAATAGGAGATGTAAAGATCAGAAAAGTCAAATTTATAGTAACTTAGTGAAATCGATAAAGATGACATGACATGAACAAAAAATAATTTTATTGCACTGTGTTTAAAAAATCAACTCCCTTCTACATTTAGATAGTACTGACTGATGGCACGTCATCTTCCAACAGTCATTATCAACATTCATCTAATTAACCTTCTCATGAAATTGCCTTTATGCTTTCAGTTTAGTAAGTGTTCTACATTTGCCGGTCTGACAGTTTCACCTTAACTCCCTTTCTCAAGGGCATTTGGAAAATAGCTTTTTTAGAAGGGCATGGCTCCCAGGACCTCAGTTAATTATATTTTTTTTAAATGTGAAGATCACAATATAATCTACTAGATAGGCATTTCAGTGAGCATAAAAATGCCTGACAGTACAAAATGTCTGGCATACTGGCTGCTTTGAATCAGAGTGAAATTTGAGTGTGTGAAAGTGCTGACTGTCACCCGAGTAGAATAACACCCCTGTGTGCACATACAGCTGCGCGCATGCGTATGGCCACGGATGACTTTGTCATTACAGTATAGCTTTGGTGGCAGACGGGCATCAGCGCTCTCCTCAGGGACATAAAGGCAACCAATCAGATCGCTTTCTGCTTCTTTTCATAAGAGGCCTCACATGTCACCTCACTGTCATCCCATATCTGCTCTCCATCACTGTAGATGTGACTGGCAGAACATGAGAGTCAGGGGAAAGTTGCTCACTGTGCCCCGGAGCTCATTTTAATGCAGTCTCCTCTGTGAGTGCGGCCCCCAGCTTCCCTCAGAGGGAAGCCTTCAGCGGAGCGATGTGCAGGGCCACTGCTCCGATGAGCTGCTGTAGCTGCTGTCTGGTGACTTTAGTCAGCCTGGACCGAGTCTGACAGCCTCGAGTCAAAAGGCTGAGTAAGACCGACATTACAAACTGCTTCTCTCTGTCAGTTGCCACTTTTTGTGTTTCATAACTCAAACATTACATAAGCACCTCATTTAGCCCTTCAGGACAAATTTAATGCAGACTATGCCGTCTGGTTTTCTTTGGTTACATTTGACTTTAATAACTCTTGATTTCGTAACAGATTATTTTGTTGTATCTGTTTGTCAGTCAACAGAAGCAGATTATGAGACCGTTCCTGTTGAGGCGTACGGACTTGCTATGCTTAAAGGGATGGGCTGGAAGAAAGGGGAAGGCATTGGACGTACCTTTAAACAGTAAGTAACAAATCAACCTGTCTTCTTTACCTGCCTCTCTCCTAATTTAATATTTTGCTGAACTTGCATCGCTGCAGTGTTCAAATCTGAGCCGAAAAAAATTTATTAGGCAACCAGACCAGACCGACCACGATGGCGGAGAGAGACATCGTATGCATGCAAAATCTGTCATTCAACGGATTGGCACATTCAAATTATATAATGCGTAATAATGTACTGTCTAATAAGTAACAGACAAATTTATTATTTATTATTTAGCTGTCTGTGATAATCTTACTGCTACTGTAACAGTAAAATAAACATCTCCAACAGCTGTGATGGAGCTCAAAACTCAACCCTGGGATGGCTGCTATCTAGCAAGTTATTTATTGCAACTTATACAGCTATGTTAGATGTAAAGAAAACTACACAGTGTGACTTGCTGGTTGCATGTCGAGGATTCTTCATGATTATAAGGAATTGAAGAAGTTACTGCTGTTGCTCTTTGTGCATAAATGCGACAACTTTCTCTCTTGCTGCATATGCTGCAAGTCTTTATTATACTCAAACGGTAAGACTCGTACAAACAACAGGAAGCAACAAACTAAACTTCTGCTACTGTTAATGTGTTGTCTAAACCTGGCTAACATTCATTACTGGCGAGGCTCATTAATCTGAATCGTAATCGCAGTGAAGATAGATTTTTTTTTCTGACATTTATCAGATGGAAAATTGTAGGAAAAAGTGATTAAGAAAAGCATGCAAACTCTGTCTTTTGTCCTCTCTGTGATGCTTTTTGACCAGTATTGTTGCTGAAACGTGAATAAAGCCTTCCCTAAATTGCCTCAAATTACTTGAAATACGTGGCTTGTACATGCTGTCTGTTAATGTGACCGCATGTAGTTCAGACTTGTGTCGCATCGAAAGTGATACAGAAATGTTACTCGGTCCAACCTAGAGTGCTCATTCAGACATGAAGCAAACACATTCAGTCACCATCTGAAAGCAGTGCCTGACTGAGAGGAGCTTAACTTTAATCACAGTACAAATCTCGACCTGGATCTTCCTTCAGCCTGTTTTACATGCTGCACCCTTCCACCTCTCTGTTTATTGATTTAATACTGTCATTCCCTGTCTGCTACAGAGATATAAAGCCAATTGAACACCAGCTCCGTCCAAAAGGGTTGGGCCTCGGGGCAGATCGTTCGGCAATAAAGGACCTGGAGCCCAGCAGACGTAAGCGTCCGCCGAAGCCAGGCGAGGAGCAAGAAAAGGAGGAGGAGCTAGTGATGGGTCCTGGGGGTTGTGTGCTGGTGGAATCTGGGGCACATAAAGATCTATATGGCAAGGTATAACTGATCTGAACTTTGATTAGTTATTTATGGCCCTTTATTGACCTACCCCGTCTTTATGCAGTGATTCTCTTTAGAAAATATACCCACTCCTTGTCATTTGTGTGGTAGCTCTAACTTACTTTTGTATCTTTTTTATAACTTGTTGTGACTTTCATTGTTGTGTGGCAGATAGAAGGTGTTGATGCAGACAACGCTCGAGTCGTGGTGAAGCTGGCTATCGGCGGCAAGACTGCGACAATCAGCCAGTACGCCATTAAACTAGTTGGACGCACGGAATATGACAAATACAGCAAAGACCTCAGTGAGTAACTCTGAACAAATGATAGAAGAAAAAGGCAACATTTAAAGGACTTAAGACAAAATTGTGTTTGCTCACTTACCATTTTTATTAGTTACAATGTCCAATTTTTTTAGTTACTTGTTCATGACAAATATACATTATTGTTTCAGCTTAATCAAATCTGACATTGGAACGTCTCATTTCACTCATTTCAAAGTAGTTTTTGGTCACACATCTGTCAAAGTTGTCGTGCTGCAGTATCTAAATGTAGAAGCAAGAGGTTTCTCTGTGCACTGCCAGCTAGCTATCATCTACTGTAGCCTGCATGTGAGGTGTTTAGGGAACATCTGTAAACTGTAGTGTCAATTGATAAGCAGATGTTTAGCAAGAGAAGTGTTTTGGGTACAATTTTGATGATTGGAGATGCACTGAAGTTAGGTGAAGAAGAACCATATTCAAAGTCTGACAAACAAATCTCTGATGCAAAGACAGTGTTGAGCAATTTTACAATTTTTAATTGACTAAATAACTGACAGATTAATCAATTGTGAAAATAAATGTTAGTTACAGCCTCACTTGTGCAAGACTTTAACTGGGCTAAACAGGTTTGAACGTTTTTGTTTTTTTGTTTTTTTTTCCCAGTTTCAGCTTATTTACAAGATGAGCCACTACCAACATTTGGCCACAGCTTGTAATTTTAGTAAGCTAAATATATATAAAAAAAAAAAAAAGAATTACAGACACTCACAATACTACAGTGTGGATGTTTGGTGGTGTGCCACATTTTACTGCATGCTATTAATGCCATTTTTTCCACCAAACAGGTCGTCTCAGTAAAGCGCACAAAGAGAAGGAAAAGGAGAAAGAGAGACGAGAGGAGAGGGAGAGGAGCAGTAATAGTGACAAGGCAAAACACAAATCTTCCGAAAGAGATGGGGGAAAAGATGAGAGGAAGAGGAAACACAGAGAATCAAGTCGAGACAGGTACATCTTCATTAAAAGATGAAGCTGCAGTCATATTGACTTTTATGTTTTTCATTAAGCAGTGTTTAAATTGAACTACTTCATGTTTTTTTTACTACGAAAATGTTTTCTTTGACTAATCATGCTGTGTATTCCTTTTTCTACTGTTTCTTCTGTAGAGATAAGCCTCCAGTGAAAGAAACAAAACGACCACCGGCTCCTCCCTCCTGGCTCCAGAGAGATCTTAAAGTTCGCTTCATAGACAAAGCTTTCAAAGGGGGCAGGTATTACAATTCAAAGGTAATGAAGCCATTTTTTTGTGTCAATTTTTAAACTGAATAAATAGAAATACCCTGATAGATGCATCTTTTTATACATATAGGTGTATAACACTAAGTAGCTCTGCAGTGGGGAGGCTCTACTGGGTATGGAAAGACAAAGGGACATTTGGTCTTTCTTTATCTTACTTTTGTTGTCTTTGTAGGATAAATCACAAGCAAACCAGCCTGTTTAATCACAGTTGTTGTCATCATGTGATGGCTGTTCTCTATAGCCCCGACATGTAACGGCATTTTTAAGGAGATTAGATTAGATACGATACACATTAGTTAAGGTTCAACTTCAGAGTCTTCGCTGTAGCTACACAGAAGCTCCCTGTCTTAGAACTGCTTCAGTTTCTCAAGTTTTATCTAAATCATGGAGTCATGATCAAGTGGCTTGTTTTAAACCACCTACTTTGATAATTCTAAAAGTTGAATTTTGGTCACAGCTTTTAAAATCTGTCTTGTTTAGATGCGAGTGGAGGATGTCCTGACACCGTCTACCTGCGTGTGTCGAACTGAAGAGGGAAGACTGCTAGACGGTGAGTCATCAGTGCATCTCAGTCTCACTAAGTGTTTGTTTTCTCTCTCTGTGTTTTTCGTCTGGACACTAATTGGAGTTGCACAAGTAGTGTACAACATATGTGCAACCGTTCCTGCTAATTTCGTAGTACATCTGGTCTGTTTAGGTCCTTCTCATACTCATACATTTTTGCATATACAGGTTTCTGAGGATATAGCTTTCTAGATGATAAATGGAGTAAAAAAAAAGATCATATTCTAAGAAACCTTAGTATAATTTTTCAATCGAACACAGAGCAGCTATTGGGAATTTAAAAGAGATGGTTCATTCATACATATGTGCACAGAATGAATCCACGAAACCACAGCTTGTCTCTTTTTGAACTTCAGTTACACATCAATTACATGAGTGTTAATTGGTAAGCAGAGGCACTTGTGGGCTGATATTAATTATTTCTCAGCTTTGTACAAAGCCAGGGTAGCTGGTTCCATTCTTAATGCTAAGCTACGCTTATTTAACGCCATAGTCTGTGGCTTTATATTTACACAGAAGTGTTATCCGTCTTCTCATTTAGGTTTCAGCAAGAAAGTGAACAGGAGTGTTTGTAAAAAATGTTAAATTATCCCTTTAACTTTCTGATAATAACAATAATAATACAGTGTACACAGAATATCATAACATACTGTGATGCTATCAACAAATTGTAAAGCGCACAACATATTGTGATGCTCTTTACAGTTTGTTAATTTTTTCCTCCAAGTGTGGTTCTCTTCTGTCAGGATTATTTACAATTCCTGCATGCTGAAGTTACCACTGACTTTGTGCATTTCAAATTACATAACCTGCTAGCTTCTGCTGTCCTTTGACTTAAGTATTTTTGGTGTTTTATTTGATAAAAACTCATGTTAAAGCTTTGATTTCCTCTGCAACAATTTGCAAATAAACCCCATGTTGTTCTTGCAGCAGTCACTTTCTGACAGCTCATTCATGTAGACAGCTGCTATCATGTCACATAGTGAGAGCCTTATAACATAAAATCTGTTGGTGACCAGGTATTCACTCTACTCCCAACTGCTGCTAAGTAGCTGTGATTATGCTTCAGTAAATTACCCACGTCTTTTTTTTCCCTTGCAGATGTGAAGCAGGACATGCTGGAAACCATCATCCCAAAAAGTGAATATGATTCTGTAATGGTTGTGCTGGGTGAGCACAGGGGGCAGGTGAGCAAATGATCATCTTGACTGCAGCACATGTGCGCTTGTTGGACTGTGACTAATCATTGCTTTTTGCATCTTATATTTACACCTTCAGGTCGGCCGTATTCTTCAGCGGGACAAGAACAAGTGCAGAGCGATGGTTCAGCTCGACAGATACGAGGAGAAAGTGTTCACGCTGGAGTATGACTCCATTTGTCACTATGTTGGAGACCACTGATTTCTGATCTGTATTGTAATATTTACTGTCATTTTCCACCCCATCTCATTTTAACTGTTGTTTTTTGTAATATTCATAAATAATGGATTTTCAAGCATTGCAATTTTGTAATAAAACCGTGTCACAAACTTTTATTTGTACAGATGTTATCACAACCAATAAGAAAAGTTGCAACAAGAAATTTTCACAGTAGTTTTGAAATTTATTATCATGTCCACTGATGGTTCAACTAACAACAAGAAAGTCAATCTTTAGGTCATATAAAAACATATTTACAGCTGCTCTACGAGTTAGAATATGAAAGCTCTGGCGGTTCAAAAACTCAGCACTCCATTGGGTGACACATTTCACAATAGAAAATCTGTCAGTTTGTAATAACAAGATGTGAGGAAGAAAAGCTGAACATTTGTGTGTTTGAGTTGGCATCTTCTTGGATTCCTGCTTACTCCTTGGGTATCTGGTTTGCTGCGTTGGCCCGAAGCACAGCTCCTGGACTGGGGTACGGACGCTGCTGGAAGAGAGGCCCCGCTGCTGTGGTATCTGCTCCTGTTTTTGCTTCATTACGTTTGGGTAGCCCGCTTGACCACGTGCCCCTGTAAAGGTGAATAAACCTGTTTGGTTAAGTAATTCGGTTTTATACAATCTACATTACCATACCTTAAAGAGGGACCACCACTGATTTTTCACATCCAAGTCAGTTAAGCAATCATAAGGGGCGTTGTAAGCAAGTTTGATGTAGCCAGGCTTTCCTTGTTAAAGCCAGCTTGATAAAACCTGAAACCCCAGTAAGAGAAAACTAACGGGTATCACAAAAATGGTGATAATTTCTTTGTTAAACAGGTTTTCTTCCTCAGATTCTGTACATGCTACCATAACAGGTGGGGTTTGGCACATCATTTCACTTTTCTTCCATACAAAATGGATCAATTTTGTGCAATTTATTGCAGTAAAAGCGCTGCCACTGCAAATGATGGGAGGTATGCAATTAGAGAACTATTAAATATGTAAGTATCATTGATTTTACCACGCAGTGCACTCTCAATGTTGGCATTTATTTCTTACGTGACAGCTGCACATTAGAGCTCTTTAACTTAAAATTTTAGACATTTTAACACTTAACAGGTGTTTTTAACTATTATTTAACCCATTAATCTCACTTCACAGTACACCTCTGTGGCTAGAGTTGCTCAGCATGTAAAAACAGTTGAGTAAAGTCTTCTGTAGCTGTAAAAGTGTTTTATCAGACTTTACACAGCTGACAACATCTCAGTTTCGTCTTTTAAGATAAATAGACCTTTTTCACAACATTTTGACTTCACATCATAGCAGAAACAGCAGAGGTGAGGCTAATTTCATCAAGTTCCATCAGGTTTTCCAACAAGACATGACAGTGAACCAGACTGCAGATCCTGGAAGTAGCTCATCTAAAGGGAATGCAGTGGTTCTTTAATGTTATCAGTTACACCTGTGCTGTTCCTGCTATGACAAGCCAACACGTCAGTTGTGAAAAAAGTCTGTGGGTGCTAATCATTATACTGGTGTGTCTCCCCGCGTCCCTAAAGTGCCTCACATTTTTGCTTCTCCCAGTGAGGTTTTGAGAAATGCAAAGACAAAAAAGCCACAGCTGTCAAATTAGAAATCCTTCCATTCCACAGCATCATGTCTTAAGTGAAGGCTGCAGAGCTGCATCACCTGTCATCTCAAACTGACACACATGAATGTGCAGCATTGTTATACCTCACACCAGCTGAGAAGACTTTGGCACAGGATAATCATGTTATCTTACTACAAGCTCCTCCTAAAGCCTCCTCTATCTTTGCTCCGCATCAAAGTACAGTTGAGTTTTTAAAAGAAGCAAAATGAAAAGCACTTTATACTGGTCAAGGAGGGTCTAATGAAAAGATGATTTATGGGAATTGCCGTCAGAATGTCTCAACCTCTAATGCTTTGTTTTAGCCTGTCTCTCTCAAGTCTTCGAACTTTACAGAAGTGCAATACTAGTTTCTCGAAAAATAATAAAACAAATAACAGAAAACTACTTGTATAGCACTTGAGTTATAAAGTGTCCACTTTCAAAGAAAAGACCAAGATTCATTTGATTACTAGTACTGTACCTTGGGGCATCAGAATAAGCACTTGGATCCATGGGGTCCATCTCATCATCTTTTCTACCTGAAAATAAAGTGCACATTTAACATTCAGTCACATAAAAAGATTCTGTGTGTATGTGTGCAGTATGAGACAGATGTGAGTTCTACCTCTTTTGCTTTTGTTGTACGGTGCCATATCTTCTCTCCTCGGCTTCCTTCTGTCTCTGTCTCTTCCGTCATCCCTCTCTCGGTCTCTGTCTCTGTCTCTGTCCCTTTCCCGATCTCGGTCTCTGTCCCGTTCTCGCTCTCTTTCTCGCTCTCTGTCTGGCTTCTCAAACGGCCTTTCAACTCTTTCATCACCTCCTTCAGCTAAAAAAACGAACCGAGGCATTAGTCACAAAGTAAATCACGATTAGAGCTTGTTGAAAGCAAAGTGCACTCTGAGATGAATGGCCAGATGCTGGGATTTGTGAGTTACACATGAAAAGTATAACAGATATCCATGGCAACATGAGTGAAATAGTAATTACTAAAACAGTGCTTCATGGACTCTCGAGAAAAATCCTACCTCTGATTTTCTTGGCGGGTTTTGTTACCACTGCTGACGGGTCATTTGGGGATAGCCAGGCCACCAAATCTGTCTCCACATTCCAGTAATAGGGAAGACCACTGTGGATCAAAGGGGAAAAAAAAGGCTTAGTATGTAGCCATAACCTATATAATAATCTGTGACCAATCGCTGAAATTTATTGCTAAATTATGTGATCAAAAAATTTATATTCTACAAACATGCTACAGTATTGCATGACAATAATTTTAGTACAATCAACAATGAATTGTAGAAATAAAGTGTACATACCAAGCAGAATCAAACACTTTGTACCAGTTTGGTGGTAAATTCTCTATTCTAGTGGCTTCATAATCTACATTGTTGTCATCGTAATCTTCAGCGATAATCTCCTCATCTGCGTCTGGATTAATAGGAGGAGAACAGTCGTTATAGACAGGGGAAAAAAAGCATGAAACAATGGGAAAAATGCTTGAAGGCACAGGGTCACGAAGGTAAAATTGACTCCACTACCATGCTCTGTTGGCTTTACAATCCCTCTCTTGGCCAAGCGGGCCAGCAGTGCCGGAGGTAGAGGCATCCTGAGAAACAGAGACATTAAGATTATATCATATAATGAGGACTGGAAATCAGAGGAGAGCAGACAGCTACTACATCATCCAAATATTGTAAAAAATAAATAAATAAATAAAATAAAAGATATTGTATTGGCCATTATGAACGGTATGCCTGTATGCCCCTGTGAATGTGCAGCTGTTTGTTTGTTTGTTTTTTAGAAATTAAGCAGTAATCTACTTTTAACCAATAGTGGCAAAACTTCACTGGCTATGGGTTTGAGTTTTTGTTCCAAATGCACACTACGTTCATTAGAATGATTTCCTTTGAGTTTTGGAGTTTGTATCGAACAAAACAAGCAATTGCAGGAAGTGATGTTGAGTTCAGGAAAACTGCTTTTCAAGAAAATAATCAGTTAATGAATAAATAATGAAGGCAGCTTTAGCTTCAAAACCATTACTCTCATAGAAACTGTGCAACAGGGCCACAGCAACACATGCAGCAGCGACAATTTTATAGCCACACGGCTGAGACTCTCTTTAAAGTTACCATGGCGGTCATGGGTTGGTCAGTTTTATGTTTTAAAAAAGAAAAATGCAGTCTGCTTTCTGAAATCATTCCCAGGAGATTTTTTATTTTATTTTATCTGGAGCTCCCGCCTGGTGAAGCTATTCGGTCGCAGCAGCAGAAGGATTAAAACAACAAAAACACCTACAAATACGAACTAAGCTATACAAACGCGAACCCTACACTTTCTGTAAATACTAGTGAGTGGAAATCATTTAATATTTACCCGTTTTGAAGTAATATAGCCCCTTTAATCGTGCAGTCTGTGGTCGAGCAGTGCCGACGACGCGACTTCCAAAACAGCACACGGCGCGCACAGTGATGACGTCGCAGTGTTAGCTTGACGACAACAAACATGGAGGAGTATGCCCGTGAGCCCTGGTAAGATTAGTTCATCAACGTTTGTATCTGGCTGTATATTAAAAAAAAAAAAAAGTAAACCTTGGTTCTAGTTTTGACTCTTCAATGTCATATTTACGTTGCTGTGAGAGTGAACAGAAAAGCTTTGCGGGACATTCGACCGGCTTAGTGAAGGCTCAGGATAAAAACAGATATCTGTGCTGTCAGAATGTAACCTCTAACCACAAATAGCTAGTAGTGTTACTTTTAACAGCATCTAACATGAAATTACATAGTTTCAAGAGACAACTGAAGGTATGATACACTAAACAATAAACCAGGGTAATCTGTACCACAAAATGTGAGTTCCACTTGGGCCAGGTTCACTGATATCAACGCTTTTTCTCGTTTAAAACAGCTAACATACTGTTATTCTAAACGAAAATATTGACGCAGCATGCAAATGGTGGCGAAAACGTTAAAAATGACATAACGTTTGAACCGAATCATTAGTAAAAGGTGGCTTCCAGATATATTTTCATCACCACCAAATAATTTACTCAAAATGGACTAACTGTCCAAAAGACGGATGTTTTTTAGATTTCAAGTTTGTTTTCATCTTCTGTCATAATTTCATAAACATTTGAATTCATAAGATAATTGAAACCGATTTAAAAATACAATAAATAAGATGTTTAAAAAAGGTAACTGAAAATATGCAACGCTACAACTGATGTTTGGTTAAAAATGTAATGTTGTTAGTTAGAAGGTGTATTTAATAGAGAATGTAACAAGTCACATGACTGCAGTTTAGCTAAGGGTCACACCTGTGGGATTATGGGAGTGAAGCAATACGGCTGCAGAGGGAAAATGCCTACATTGCTACAGAGGAAACGATATGACCCAGAAATAGCTATTCTGCATGATCTGAGACACGCACACAATAACTGTGACTTTTAAGTTTTCTCTGTTTCATATTTGTTTGCAATATTAGTCAAAGTGCATTGTATGGAGAGTTTTATGCACTGTTGTTGCAAGCTCGTATATTTGGACCCGTCTAATGACTGAATCTAGTTTGAAAGACTTATTATTTGATCTGTCTAATTAGAGACACTTTATTAGGAAATGTGTATTTGAAATGATTTGTGAGGAGAAAATTTCTGAGGAGAAAAATAAATGTTAAAAGACATCTGTATGATGCGTGGCCTTCATTACATCAGACTGGACTAGTTACAATCCTGTAGTTGTTTCAATTCTGCTTCACTGTTGCACAATGACAATAAATCCATTTCTATTTCGTATTGGCCCTATTGACACTAGTATTGAAACGCAAAATGAGACGTAGTATTGACAGAATAATTACTTCAAAGATGAATCTGCGCTCCTCCTTTTTATTTTTTATATACTGTGCATTTTCTAGGGAAGGATCTCCCCTGTTAGTTTATCCATCACACATTTATGCTTTTCCCTCTTGTTTCTTGCTGCTTTCCTGCAGTCCGTGGAGGATAGTGGATGACTGTGGAGGAGCTTTCACCATGGGTGCGATTGGAGGAGGGGTGTTCCAGGCAGTCAAGGGTTTTCGAAATGCCCCTGCCGTGAGTCCAAAACATAATTATTTGTTCTCTGACTTGTCAGGTTCTTAAATGCAGAATTCAACTGTGCTCTAATATTTCAGGGTGTTGGACATAGACTGAAAGGAAGCGCAAATGCAGTGAGGGTAAGAGCGCCACAAATTGGAGGTGAGCAGGACTTGTTTTGTTAGTTCTGAACTGTTTCATTCACATAGTATTCCAGTTCTGGCATTCATTTTATTGAGTCTATCATATATCATTCCTTTTGTAAGTTAAATTGTTTAGGTGCAACTAGTTTTATTTTGGTGGCTGAAGCCCAGTTATTTCACAATATTAATAATCACATAAATCATGCATTCAGTCAGACAAGCTAACGCTCATTGGTGGGGATTTTCAGGTAGCTTTGCCGTTTGGGGAGGACTCTTCTCCACAATCGACTGTGGTTTAGTTCGCCTGAGAGGCAAAGAGGATCCCTGGAACTCCATAACAAGTGGTGCACTGACTGGGGCCATCCTCGCAGCACGCAGTAAGAAGAACCCCAATAACACAATGAATTAGACTCCAGCTTCCTGTGCCTGTAAACACATCAGTGTAACTTGTCTGACAGAATCACTGAATGTTTTGTTTTTCTTCAGGTGGACCATTAACCATGATGGGCTCTGCCATGATGGGGGGGATTTTGCTCGCTCTCATTGAGGGTTTTGGTATTCTCCTAACCAGATACACTGCGCAGCAGTTTCAGAACCGTAAGTGAAGCTGATTAAATTGACCCCTACCCCTAAAAACACATCTCTCTGTATCAAAGTTACATGTTTAAAAGTTGTTGTTTGTTTTGTTTTTTAAACATAAAAATAATAAATAAATATCTGCCTTAAATCGCTTAAATGTGAATCCACCCCTCCCCTCTTGCGACACCTCCAACTCTGCTCAAACACTGTGAAACTACTCTATGCTAGACAATGGCAAGTTGTAATGTTTAAGTAATTCAGACATATATGTTGGAACCAGTAGCAGATTCTAAAAACAAATTATATTACAGAAAGCCCCGCCCTGCAAGTCAACAGGATTGGTTTCTTGGTTTTGTTACATATGAAAGCCTGCAAGTCTGAAATGTGCTGCTTTGAGTGTTTCTCTGAATAACTGGTCAAAAGTAAAAAGTACAACATTAAGACATTTACAGCAAAACTACAATTATGTTTTTTGGGTAGCTTAAAGCATCACAACATTGATGTCAGATTTTACAATCGTTGCGATGACATAATCACAAATAGGTTATCGATCAGTCAACTTCACTTCTGAACTTAACCCTTTCTGCAAATAACTACCTAGAGTTTAGAGGGGAAATGGCACAGAGCACAAGGGAGTGTTTGAATCTGTTAGTTTTAGCTTGTAGAGGTCTGAGACAAGTACCAAATAGCAGAAACTGTTGCTATAAAGCACACACAGGATAGATTCTGCTTCCTTCTATACCTGTTTGTTGTAATGATGCTGCAGAGTTTCCTGTTTTTTTGCCGCAGACATTACCCATCTTATACTTTTTGAGAGGTTTTGACATCAGTAGATGAAAGAGAAAGTGAGAACATACTCAATAAAAGATCAATAAAACATTATCCACCAGGAATTGTGCATGTGTAGATGTTTCTTGTGGAAATCAGAGGTCAGCGTACATTTTGACCCATCACAATAAATAAATGTGTGGCTAAGTGCACGATGGGGTTCTGTTCAAGTGTCACATTAAGCTGTGATAGTAACATATTACTGTCTTCATTACTTACACGTGTGCTTTCCCTGCTGTGATGTCTGTTGTTGTGAAGCGGATGAGATTGGCTGAGGGAATCCTACCATACCAAGAAGACTGACCGAACAGCAGAAATACAAAATATATCTTCATCGTAGTGTGTCGAAGAGAAACATACATTTTATCTTGACTGTATTCATGGCATGTATGACCAGGACGCTGCTACAGAAGCTTGAGAAATTAACTTTGCTGTGTCTTCTTTCTTACTTCCTCCAGCTGTTCCTTTTGCAGACGACCCCAGTCAGTTGCCGCCGAAGGACGGAGATCAGCATCAGGGGCAGAAGAGGCAGTTTCAGTAGAGAGCTTTAAGGACTGAGACCAGCTGTGGACACAGTGAGTTAAATCAGTGTAATAGGAACGCCAAGACATTAGCAACAGGATGATCAGGAGGTGGATGAACCGGTCCCCGCAGCGGTGTCAGGTAGTTGCACTTTTTGCTTACACCTCAGGGGCAAATTACTGTGAGTTTTACTTATTTATGAGCAAATGTTTGTATGTGAACAATGGTCCTCGTGACTAACTTCGTATTTGTACCATTAGAATCTCATGCAGCAATTTCTGTTTTAATCATTATTGCGTCATTGCTGGGAACTGATAGGGTTAAATATGCAACTCTAAAATTTATGTTTAAAATGAATTTGATTCTTCAGTATCTTGGCAACATGTATTTCTGAAAAAGCCCATATACTCCTTTTATTTTGTTTTTACATTGTTCTTTTGTGTTAGTTTGTAAACTTACAAAGCTACACCAAAAGGGAATTTTCTGTCCCACAGAAAACACGGCTTATTACCTGCCTGAAACATTTCGTTTGAAGTCCAAACTTTTCTTCCATCACTTAACTGCATCACACTCTTCTAATGTTTCCTCTTTAAAGCCACTTCACATTAGAGCTACATCTCTCTGTCTAAAGGAGACAGGAGCTAAAAAAAAAAAGACAGATGGTCCTTTAGCAATACACGAAATGAAAAAAGGATTTTTTTTTGGTACATTAAGTTGACCAAAAAGTGAACATCAGAAACCTGTAAATGTGCATGATATGGGCTCTTTAAAGGGAAATATGCTTGTTTAATTTTTTTGCCGAGAGTTAGAGGAGAATCAGTACATTCATACATAATACCACTCTCATGTCTTTATGGTAGACATGTAGCAGAAGCCAGCAGCTGCTCATTAGTTAACATGGTAAATCTCATTTTGTTGAATGTGTGCAAAAAAACTAAAGTATAAAACATCAAATCTGCAGTTTTATGTGCCAGACTTGCTGGATCCTCTCATCTAACTCTCGGCAAAACATCCGACCACTGCTTAACGCTTCCAAAGATTTTGCACTTGGACACGTAGATGTTGTAAACAGTGAAGCCAGCGTTGTAATGACTGCATGGTAGAAGAACAGGACATGTTTGTTTCAGTAAGGGTTTACCATAGAGAGTGGTGGGCTGAGTATTTGTTTATAAGTGTATTTAAACGTCAGCTGTGACAATCAATCTGTGAATGTTTTGAATTATGTGTGTTACAGATGGCTCAGCAAAACCCCATTCCATTCTCTGTTTGCAATTTATCCTAATAAGTTATTGCCTCATTTGGCAGCTTTAGTAATATTGAAGTTTTATTGAATATTTAATGTCTTACGCATTAGAAAATAATTGCACCTTTTTCTGCAATACTGTAGAAAGATTTTCTTGAAATTATGGCTTTAATTACTCAGACAGTTCTGTTACAACTTGCACCCATTGTCACTTTGATGCTACAGTATCCGATAGCAACCAAGCACTTTTTAAACTTTTAATTTTCTTGAAATGGTAGCACCTTCCACTGCGAAGAAATGATGCAACACGATCCAGTGGTTTGCTGTCAAACTTTGTATAGAGAGAGAGAATGTTTATTTTATCCTAATATATTTATTGTGCAAAAGAAAAAAATAAAGGTATTAATGTTCTATAAGAATTTAATTGTCGTTGTGTTTTCATCATGGCCCCATCGTTCAGAAACATTAAAACTGTGTTTATGTGTCACAACCTAAATCTAAAATTTGTATTCATTCAGCATATTCGCTACAGTCAGCTTTGCACCAGTTTAATATCTATGATACAGAGTAATAGAACCAAGCATTAGTACCCTGGATGTGTTGTCTGTTTTCTTATAATTCAGTACAAAAATCTTTAAAAAGTGTATCTTGGCCAAACTTTCAAGTGTCATACTTCATGTGGGAGAGGTGGTTAGTTAAAATAAGTTGTAGCACGTGAAAGGTCTCATTCTTATCTACATTTTGATACCAGGTTCTTCTTCCTCTAGCTACGACAGCTTCTATGTAAAATAAATATATAAATAAATGAATGGGCTTATTTTGAAAATGACAAATGTAGGTTAGTAACAGCAAAACAACATTGGTGTTCACATGCCTTCTATGATAGGAGATCAAACCAGATTGGAGCAATCAGTGTCTATTTGAAAGTCTTTCAATTTCATCGCTCATAGTGTTCAGTTCTTGTTCTGTCGGTTTGTACTGTAGCCCTGTTTGCATCGCCAGATTGTGAACAACGGTGATGATGTGTAATCTTGGTTCCCAACACTTGTCTCTTCTATGGAGCCAAGAAAATGATTGTGCAGGAGTTATTATGGTTTTAATTCCTCGTGCAAATGGAATGCCAAATTTTACATTTTGCTAGTCTTACAATATGACTGTATTCAAGAAAAAAAAAAACTGTGGACACAGACATAATCTTTGCTAGAAGATGAGTTGGTGTCAAAAAATAGGCAAAATTGGACCTTTCATTAATTTGTTTGGACCAACTATCCAACACGATGATATGAAAATGAAAATTTACCCGAAATGCACATTTTAAAGTTTTCTCCAGAAAAATACATACAGGGTAGCAAAGCATGTTTCTATTTCTGTCTGTTATAGACATTAAACCGATGCAGTTCTGCTATTAAAACTGTGAGATATGCCATTAAATATTGATGCTAAAAGCTGCTTACAGGAAAAACTGATCAAAAGCAAGATTTTGATTTCAGATTGTGACATGTCTGTTGTGGATGTAAAGGAGATGTGGTTGCAGCTTTTAACAGGGCTCTAATGTGTTTTTCATCCCAGAAAATGTCATGTGGCTCTCTCCTGTACTTCTAGAGTTATTAGGGCTCAAACATGCTGAAAAAAGTGACATTTCAACCCACAGCTTTGTACTTCAACAGCCTGTAACTTAGAAATTATTCACAATATGAAAGTAAACTTTTGTATGGCTTCACTAAATACGCTCAAATTTGGGTACAAAAAGCCTCACTGATTCTGATGGGCTTAGATGTGAGTTGGTTGATTTTATATGAAATGGCCTGTTATGAACATAGTCTCTGTCATTCACTGTGGACGTGCGCCCCCCGCTGCCGCTCCTCCGCTACTGCATTCTGGCTGCTTCTGTCCAAGGTCCTGAAATGCGTTTCTAACCGCTTTCTCCCCTCATCTCGAGGCTGTTTTTTGTTAATATTCTTCTCCTCTATAGCTAAAACATCGCAGCAGAATCCCGCAGAGCCTCAGGGCTTCTCCACCTCCACCTTCCCCTTGAAAGATTTCCTCTGTCATCCTTTTAAACGGCTCAGCTGCTTTAATCCTGCCGGCTGACCACCGCGGATATGGGCACGCGTTTCTCTTAATATTCCTCGCCTTATTATGTGCCTGCGCAGATAAAAAAGGCAATTGCAGATTTTTTCTTTTCTTTTTATTTACTCAGAGGAAGAAATTACCAGAAAGCGGCTTTAATTGGATTTCCAGGCTAGGAGCAGGAGGCGGGCAGCAGGATGGCCCACAGCCTCTCAGCTGCACCGGCGCTCTGCATGTGGATTTGAAATGACAGGCTGCAGATGGTCCTGCTTTTATTTTATTTATTTATTTCGCCCGTGGAAAGTCGTGTCTTTTTTCGGGGCCAAATTCATATCTGTGATCCATCGCAGATCCCCTGAGGAGTTGATGGTGCGTTTTTCTTAAGTGGCTCCGTGGTGTTGAACTACAGAAATGGACGGGGCAAAGAAAGGTAAAGCACACAGGAACAACATGTAAAATTATGCATAACAACTTGGATGAGATTCACTGCACTGTATCTTCAATGGAAAAATCCAGAGGAGAGATAGAACATGTCTCTAACATTTTTAAATGTCTTCTGATTGGTCAAACACATGATAGTAGTAGTTTTTTTCTGTCTCAGTTGCAGCATATAGTCTTACACTAACAGCTGGCATCATGTTCAAAGTTTTCTTCCTAGGACACACAGTTTAAGCTCTTTTTTTTGCCCACATTTTTTGGCTACTCCTCTGTGGTTTGTTCACGGATGAGTTGATAAAAGCACCCGCAGGCTTATTCTCTGTGCAAGGCCTTGTCAACAGGTGTTCATGTGCCTACTTGGGGATAGTGCTGGGCTAAGTGCCACGCTGCTCCCAATAAAGAAGTAGGTCACATCTGGTCTTATAAGATATCCTTTCCTAATTATGTTAGATAATAAAATGTACGCTGAGACAAGAAATGTAGACGTGACCTGGTGTGACCCAGGACTGAGAAGTCGGACACTAACTAGAGTTTCTCACAAGTTTGTTGTTTTGTTTGTTTAAGACACCCACTGCTCTTCTAGCCAGGAGTTGTCAGAGTCTATCATCCATATGAAACACTTATTTACTTACTCAGTTTAAAACAATTCAACCAATAAATCTTTCAGTGTGTTGCCAATAGATTAGATTCATGTTCAGGATGCTTGAAAACTCAGAATATCCTCTTTATTTTGTGTTTTATCCTGTTATTTCTTGACAGATGCCCCCCCTGGGGGCGATGCAGGCAAATCAGACACCCTCGGGTCAACTGGCTCAGCCAGAAAAAGAGGAGGGGGGGCCAAGAAGGCGATGCAGGCAAACAAATCTGCCCTCAGGGCCCCCCGAGCGCTGTGCTGCCTCACTCTGAGCAACCCCATCCGCATGGCAGCGCTGGCCCTAGTGGAGTGGAAATATCCTTTCTCTGAGTCGTGTTTGTGTTGACTCACGCAGTGTGCTTTGTGGATGTTTATACAAACCCTCCTACATGTGATGCGAATGTGGTGATGTGTGAATGTGAATATGTTGGGATGGAGGTGGTTTTTTGTTCTGTTGTGTGTGTTTTCAAAGAGAAATGAATCCACAATGTCTGTTGTAGCCTTAATTACAGTCTTCAAGCCTTTTGATATTTTCATTCTACTTGCCATTTTTGCCAACTGTGTGGCCATGGGTGTTACCAAGCCATACCCAGATGATGATTCCAATGCTACAAACCACCAACTAGTGAGTTTTCTGTGGAGAGATATATACATTAACTTGTTTCTGTGCATCATTTGGAAAGTTAGAACAGCAATAAACACTCTGCAAGCCTAATGTTACAGAAGATACAATTGCTAAAATATAAGTTAGGATGATGCAAAAAAACAGCCAAACATTTACTAACTTGCTGGTAAAAAACATATTTATTTCATCAGTGTGCTGCCTGGTAGGTGGTGTTTTCAAACACAGTCTACAAGAAGAATGAATCTGAAGGATGCTGCACCTTTAATGTAGAAAAGTCAAAATAAAGACCGCAACAAAATGCAATTGACACAACAAAATGCATGACACAGTCACAAAATACAATGAATGAACATGACTTCTTCCTGCAGAAACAGGAAAGAAAAGTATAGAAACACATTTCAGGTCTTTATCCAACAATTAAGTACCCTCTGCTAGTGCATCCTTGCCTGTCGTGTTAAATTAAATAGTCACTTAGATGAATAGACCACATAGTTAGAGCACACGTGAGAGAGAAGGTGTTTGAAGAAAGATCTTATAAAGACCAACATGGCAAATGTCATGTTAGGTATTCACTTTAAAGTGCTGTGATTAAAGAGAACTTTCTAAAGGAGAGCTCCTTCTTCAGAATATAATGAGGTGAACACTTTGTATTGCCATCACGACTTCTTTTACACTTTATATTCTCTCATGTTCCTTGTTTCTAAGAGCATCTCCTCTGGTTTTTCTGAGATCATTTTCAGTCTAGGGTCCCCTGAGTCATTTATAATATAAGTGCAGGAAATGGCAGTTTTAATGGTTTCTGAAAAGGAGAAAATGAGCATTTCGGTTCTTCATAAAAAGGACAGGAGTCGGTAGGCGTTCTGCAATTAGCAAGAAGGTCGGTGGGTTTTGTGGTGGGTGGTAATGGCATTAGAGGTAAAAAGTTGCGCAGTGACCTCAGCTAGTTGACCCTGTCAGGGATCATGACTGACTTAAACACCAACCATCTGCCTCTTCTCTCCTCCGCTCTCTCTGTCTCTTATTCTTTCTCTTTTTCTGATCAGTTTTTGTTAGTAAAATGACACGATGTTCAAACTGAAAATCAGTCACACAGGAATTATAAATGAAATGACTGAACAATAATGTAACACATTCAGTAAACATGCAGATGTGACATTGTCGTTAATGTTATTGCACTGTTTAAAACAGTCCTCATGTAGATGGCAGAGTGAAGTCATTAGATATTTGAGTTCACGTGAGTGTAGTTAAAAGGGTGGTGGACGCACAGACACACACATACTTACAGCAGGATACATGTTAGTAGATCCCTTTATTGGATTTCACAGAGGAGGTAATCTGACAGTTTAAGATATTCTTCCTCGCGAGGACTTAATATCAGCTGTTATCATTTTTAGATAAGGTTTGGGTGTGTTTTTTTCTGATTTCCTAAACAACAGGCATCACCTTACTTTAAAGCACATCATTCCTGGATTATTGTGTCAGTTTGAGGTGAAGTGACAGTGATTAGGGGCATTAAGCTGAAGGTTACAGAAAAGGGATGTGGGGACAGACTTAAGCATGTGTTAGACACTGGGTTAAGAGGTTAGAAAGCCAGTGTTCAGCTCTTAATGAGAACTCACATGACTCTTTTCAGTGGAGCAAGAAAAAAACTGTAAATAAACAGCAACAATAGCCTCTAAATGTCAATAACATACCCTAAAAATAACTAGACTTTTTCTTTTGTCTCACTGAATGTTTTTTTTTTTTCTGATGTACTCATTCTATTTTCGCCCCACCATCCCCACTGTTTCTTTTGTTCCCAGGAACAAGTTGAGTATGTCTTCCTCGTCATCTTCACCATTGAGACTTTCACTAAAATCCTTGCCTACGGCTTAGTCATGCACCCCAGCGCCTACATACGCAGCGGATGGAACTTGCTTGATTTCGTTATCGTCATTGTCGGGTATTTTTGGTGCTTCGTGCAGTCACCGTTTCCATCTATGGATGTTCTGCCGGTAATGGGAAGCGTGACAGCTGTGTTCTGATTCTGTGCAGGTTGTTCAGCGTGATAGCGGAGGGCATGACGGATCACAAGCCAGGAGAGGCCCATCATGCTGCAGGAAAACCGGGAGGCCTGGATGTCAAAGCTCTCAGAGCATTCAGGGTGCTGCGACCGCTTCGACTCGTATCTGGAGTGCCAAGTGCGTTTGTCAGTTATGGCAGCTTGTTTGCCTGTTTGCTTGATCCCACATGCACAACTAAAAAGAGTGTATTTGACCCCGCCAGGTTTACAGATTGTGTTGAACTCCATCATGAAAGCCATGGTCCCCCTTCTCCACATTGGTATGCTGGTCATGTTTGTCATCATCATCTACGCCATCATCGGTTTGGAGCTTTTCATCGGCAGGATGCACAAAACGTGCTACTTCCTGAGCACAGGTACATGCTCTCAGCCGATTCAAAGCATTGTTCCTGTTTGGTGGATGTTTACACTCAAAGCCTGTTTGTCTCCTGCTGCTTCCTGCTCCAGGTCTCATGGTGGAGGACGATCCATCTCCTTGTGCGTTTGCCGGCAGCGGGCGCTTTTGTGTGGGCAACGGGACAGAGTGCAGGGGCAAGTGGGAGGGTCCCAACGGCGGGATCACAAACTTTGACAACATCTTCTTTGCTATGCTGACAGTCTTCCAGTGCATCACCATGGAGGGTTGGACTGATGTGCTCTATTGGGTATGCACAAATGTCCATGAATCCTCCATTTCTTCGTATTTGTTTGTGTTGTGGAATTCTGGAAGAAGTTGATGTAGGATGAGGAACCCGACACAGAGAGACACGCTGGAAATAAGATGACTAGGGTTGATGACTACGGTTTACTGAATTCAGGAGAAGTGACACTAACAGAGCAGTAGTTAACGCATGCAATGCCAGCATCAGTTCTGAGGATTTCTCTCACACCTTCGGTCTTATATCCTCCTTCGGTGGGAGCCACATCTAGATTTATGAGTGAGAGGAAAACAAAGATAATCCGACGCGTTGGTGCAATCTGTCCTTGAGAGGTACAGGGAGTGCTTGCCTGTCTTCCTACAATAGATCGACATGAGGTCAAGAGTCTTTTTAAGTTTTGTGGATTAGTACACATCTGTTACAAATACTAGCTTTACATAAGGGGGTCAATCAGAGGAGCTAAGGGGAAAGTTCAATACCCGCTCTAGAAACTTAAAAAAGTAAAGTAATTTTTTCTTCACAGTTTGCTGACTGATGCTAATTTACATTTTCCATCTCTCTGTACAGATGAACGATGCCATAGGTTACGAGATTCCATGGATTTACTTTGTTTCTCTGGTCATCTTCGGGTCATTTTTCATCATCAATCTCGTATTGGGTGTGTTGAGCGGGTGGGTAGTCGCTGCACTGCACAAGAAACAAAGAAGCTGCTTCAGAACGCACCTATCACATACGTCCTTTGTGATTTTCCTACATTTGCTGAGTTTGTGCCTGTATTCATGTGCACAGAGAGTTCTCTAAGGAAAGAGAAAAGGCTGTGGCTCGTGGTGAGCTACAGAAGGCCCAGGAGAGCAAGCAGATGGAGGAGGACATGATTGGCTACATGGACTGGCTCATAGAGGCAGAGGATGTGGATGAAGAAGGAAACAAACGTCAGTTAAATGCATATTTTCAAATATTTTCAAAACACACGCCCTCCAATCCCAACATTAACGCTCTGTGGTCTTACATTTACACATAATCCACTTCCTGTGTCTTTGAAGGTGCTGCAATTGCAAAGAAAAAGATGATGAAGAAGTTCGGCTGGTACAAACACAGTGAGGATGGAGGAGGTACGACAGCTCCCACCGTCTGTTTTGATGTTTAATTTATTTGATGCTCTCTTAACATCCAGTACATCTGCGTGTGTTCAACAGAGTCAGACTCAGACGATGATATCGCGTACCTCGATGATGACAACGGCTGCTGTGCTTCTCTTATGTAAGGCAACAGAGAAATGTTTGCTGTCTCCATGCAGGAGGAGATCGTGTCATTATAATTAATGTCTTTCTCTCTCATTTTCTTTCTTTCTTAGGGCAAAGTTGATGGCCAATAGCTTCTGGTAAGATTTTTAATGTAACACAGTGTGTATGAAATGTTTATGTGGCGAAGAGAGTTAACTTTTAGAGTAGTTAGGGCATATTAACAAATTCTAGTATTATATCATCCATAACTTTTGATTGTGTCGATCATGTATTTCATATGAATTTGCTGAACATTGCATTGCTTTTTAGAAAATATAGCAAATTTGCATCAAAATATCATCACTTCATAAGACCAGAAACAAAAAGGATTCAGTTTGAGTGGGTTAATACATTCTTGGGACGGTTGTCATTGAGTGGTTCAATGTGATGAAAGTTTGGTATGTTAGAGGACGTTATAGAAGTTGCATTATTTTTATCCACCACAGTGAAAAAACTTCTAGATATCACTAAGACGTATTCGTTACAATGCAAGAACTCATTCGTGTGAGAGCATAAAGGAGCCCATTTCTAGTTTTCTGTTTTACTATCGTCATAGAGATCAGTATATCCAGAAAGCATTTTTATTAACACCTTGTCTGACTCACCGGATGTCTCTTGCGGGTCGTCTCCCTGCGTGCAAATGTTCCACCAAAACCACTCCACCTGTCACTATTTTGAAGGAACCCCAGATCTGCATCCTTAGCCTTGCCCACGATGACTGTGATTGGTTTACAGAAATGCAAACAACACAGTGGTTTTTTTTTTCTCCCAATAGCAGAATGATACTGAGGTGCAGTCAGAACATTCTACACCACAGAATGGGCTGAAACCCACAGGATCCAAAGGACACATTAACAATGTCCTGGTGCCAGACACCACAAGACACCCCCAAAAGTCTTGCGTCCCACACAATATTAGGGAGCTGTTTTAAATGTTGTGACGAATCAGTGATTTTGACACAAGGACTACACAAATTTATGTAGTAAACTCTCTCACTTATTGTCTTTGATGCAATGACTCCATGGCACTACATGTGCACATAGCAGTGTGGAATGTCAGATTAAACAAAAAGAAGACTAACCCAGGTCGATCTGAAAAAATCTGGAAATCATTTATTATAAATGATAAAGGGAGCTTAAGTCTCTCTGGCCTGAAGGTCCCTTGTGCTGAGACCAAAGTTACTGTAAGTGTCCCATTCAATGAGAATCATTGCCCAGCACTACTTTCACTAAAGTGGGTGAAGCATGATTGGGTTTCATTTCTGTTGCATCAAATTTGAGTTGCAGTGCATTTTTAGAACAAGTTCAATAAGATCAGTGTTTACTGATGCAGTCTGGTCTGGTGATGGGGACAAAGTGGCCTATTGTATTTCTAGGTTGTTCATTTTGGCCTCACAGTTGTGCAGTGGTTACTGATGAAGTTACTGACTGAATTTAGGAATGTTTTTTTCAGGTAAAAATTAAAAAATAGCAGAGACTTGGTTGATCCCTTGGGCTCAAAAACTAATGCGTTTATAAAATTGTATTAAATCACTAATGGACTATATTCTATCATATCATATTATTATTATTTTTCGTTGCACTGGAAATGAATGGAATCATGACAACACTGAAGCTACTGCTGCTGCTAAAGCCTTTTCCTGCAAATGCAATTTTGCATTCAACACATTGTTTCTATCTTTTTCAGTGACCAGCTGTGCCAGCTGAACCATACTTTTAGGAAGAACTGCCGCGTTGCCGTCAAGACCACTAATTTCTACTGGTTGGTGCTTCTGCTGGTGTTTCTTAACACAGTGGCCAGCGCCTCCGAGCATTATGGACAGCCAAAGTGGCTCACAGAAATGCAAGGTAATAATACAGTGCTTCTTTTATTCTAACCTTTGCTTAATATTTGTTTTTCTGGGTGCTGACTCCAAATGTGATTTAAAAGGAATTAAAATTGACTTCTCCGTCCCCCAGAGCGAGCCAATAAGATCCTGCTGCTGCTGTTTACTCTGGAGATGCTGATGAAGATGTACGCCTTCGGTCTGCAGATCTATTTTATGGCACTGTTCAACCGCTTTGATTGCTTTGTGGTGTGCGGCGGTATTCTCGAGACACTGCTTGTGGAGCTGGAGGTCATCCCGCCCATTGGCATCTCCGTGCTGCGCTGCATTCGACTGCTCAGGATATTTAAGATGACTCGGTAACTAGCACCAGAGCTTTAGAGAGACACCACTAGCGTAGATCCGTGACCGGTGTTCATGCTGTCTTGTCATTTCTAGACACTGGGCTGCCCTGTCTGATCTGGTCAATTCCCTGCTCAACTCCATGAAAGCTATCTGCTCCCTTCTGCTCCTGCTCTTCCTCTTCCTCATCATCTTCGCCTTGCTGGGAATGCAGTTGTTCGGAGGCAAATTCAACTTTGACGAGACTCAGATGAAGAGAAGCACCTTTGACTCGTTCCCTCAGGCTCTGCTCACATGTTTCCAGGTGATTTTACATCTTCAGAATATCCCACCACTATCCTCACAGTTCTGTGTATTATTGAGTTGATTCCAGCTCCCTCCCTCTGTCTTTCTAACTGTATCTTCCTTCTTGCTCCTTATGGATGTTCTTTTACTGCAGATCCTCACCGGAGAGGACTGGAACGCTGTGATGTATGACGGCATCATGGCATACGGAGGGCCCATCTTCCCTAACATGGTGGTTTGCATTTACTTCGTCATCCTCTTTGTCTGTGGTAACTGTATCCTTTTCCTTTAAGTGACAAACACATCAGCAGGGATTCCGATCACTCCCGCTCTCATCTGAACAATAACATTAGGTCTTTAATTCCAAAAGTAACAAATCCTTAATTCCTTAATTTTGTGATCAGACATCCTGCTCAATGTCTTCTTGGCTATCGCTGTGGACAACTTGGCTGGAGGTGGTGGAAAGAAAAAAGTGGAGTAAGTTTGAGAAAAGATCACGAGCAGCAATGTCAGACACATCTGTGACTGACTTATGCTTTTATTTTCTGCTGCATTTACACCGATCAGTTATTTTTAGCTTCACAATAACATTTATTCCAATTCAGAGAGAAAAAGGAAGAGGAGGAAGAGTGGGATGAGGATGAGGAGAAAGAGGACGAAGATGCAGGGGTACGGTATTTAAAAATCTTTTGCTGCACCTCAGCTGACATTTATAAAAACCAAGTAAGTTACAGCAGCTGATATTTTGTCTCGAGCACAGAACGAGGAGGATGACTGGCAGGAAAACGAGGAGCTTCGAGCCATCGAGGGACTGGAGGGTGAGAGTGATGGACGTCCCCCCGGCACAAGAGGCATTAACCACAGTGATTAAGAGTGATTGAAACTGTCTCTCCTGTTTGCTCTTTGTTGTAGGCGTTGCTCCATTAAAGCCAGAGTTCTCTGGGCCCAAAGAAAAGATTGTGCCAATACCTGATGGAAGCTCCTTCTTCATTCTTGGAAAGAAAAACTGGTAATTTTAGATCACGCACATTCATTGAAATAACATTTGATGAAGTATTGTGCTTAAGTACAATTTTAAGGTGCTTTATTAGAGTGTTTCTGTCTTATGCTTCTTTATTCTTCCACTCCACTGCATTTCAGAGGGAAATATTGTGCTCTCTGCTCCTCTACATTTATCTAACAGCTCAAGATATTTTTAAAATGAAGATTTCACACAGTGGATGACATAACAAGCTTTTATAATACAACACATTGTTAAAGATTAAACTGGTGGTTTCAAGCATGTATAGCTTCTTTTTTTTTTTTTAAACAAAAAACACATCATGGATTTTACTCTCTAAACTTCTCAAATAAATGATTTCAATAAATATTAAAATGATCCCATATCTCACCGAAAATCAAAGATTACAGAAAAACTGAAAACGGTTTTGTGGATCAGATTTTTGTTGTTGTTGTTTTTTCTTCTCTCCTCTCATGAATCATGTGTAAGCCTCAGATTTGTCTGCTGTCCCTGAGCATAAAACCATATATAAAGTAGTTCAAACCTGCAGCAACACTGATGCTTTTCTAATAATCATCTAATTATTTCATTTGTAATAATATATCAGTCAGTAGGAGAAAAACAAATCCTTTTGCTTTAATACTTTAACTATGTTTTGCCACTAATGCTTTTCTTTACTTAAGTCGGGTTTTTCATGCAGGACTTGGGGTATTTTTACATTTTTGTATTGATACTTTTCCTTAAGTAAAGAATCTTTTACCACTCTCCACATTAACCCAAGAAATGACAGAAGTGATGTTCTGTAGCACTGATTTACCTCCAATTCTTCATTCTTCAGTTTACGAGTCGCCTGCCACAACCTCATCCATCATCCCTACTTCACCAACTTCATCCTCATCTTCATCATCCTCAGTAGTATTTCACTGGCTGCTGAGGATCCGATAAAATCCCACTCGTTCAGGAATATTGTAAGCTTCACCTACATCTCCTCTTGCAAACAGCCTGTCACATTCCCTCCATGTTCACCAGCTCATAAATATCAGCTTCACGATTAACGAGACTGACGGCTGATCTGTCCCCCCCTCAGGTGCTCGGATACGCTGATTATGTATTCACTTCAGTTTTCACCGTGGAGATCGTGCTAAAGGTAACAGCTACGGTGACTGGAACTGACAAAATGAAGTGGAAAATGATGTGCTATAAAAAGGGTGTAGTTCAAAAGCTCGTGGCAGAGCGACTAGTTTCTAACGTTGTTCCTTCGCCTCCTCGCTCGTGTCTAGATGACAGTCTACGGAGCTTTTCTGCACACCGGCTCCTTCTGCAGGAACGCCTTCAACCTTCTCGACCTGCTGGTTGTCAGTGTGTCGCTCACGTCTTTCTTTCTACAGTGAGTAGATACGCATTCAACACAAACCGCACAGTGTTCTCCTCTGACAGAAAAATCAATAGCAATCTCTATTTGTGCTGCAATTTGTGGAACCAGTGAAGCGTAGAGATTTGAAAAAAGATATATAAGTGTAGTTTTATACTTCATACTCTCTTCTTTCTGAGTCAGATCTGTGTCATTTTTTTTTAGTTTATTACCCCAAAAATCTCATGAGTTTTCTGAATCCATTGTGTTTTTGCTTTTAGCTCAAGTGCGATCTCCGTGGTAAAAATTCTCCGAGTGCTCCGAGTGCTCAGGCCTCTTCGAGCCATTAACAGAGCAAAGGGACTGAAGGTAAATGAATATGTTCCATCTTATTTCTGTCCCTTTATTTAATCATATTGAACGTTTGCTGTTTATGCAGTGTATATAGTTTGTTGCTGTTTGAATACATTGGTTTTGTGGTTTGTATGTTCACAGAACGTGGTGCAGTGTGTGTTTGTGGCGATCCGCACCATCGGCAACATCTTGATCGTCACAACGCTCCTTCAGTTCATGTTTGCTTGTATTGGAGTGCAGCTGTTCAAGGTACGTGTTTACACTTTCAGTAGTAGTAGTAGTAGCAGTCGTAGTTTATTTCATTCATTGAAAAAACAAAACAAAACAAAACAAAAAAATTCAACACAATACAAAAAAAAGTTTCCATTTCTGAATGAAAAGGGAGCAGGAAGAAGAATAAACTTATGTAATCTGCCCCTTTATAACAAACAGTCAACAAAATGACAAAATGACTATAAAGTCTACGGTCTGGACACATTGAAATACAAACTCTTTTCACATCAAATACCAAACCTAAAAAACATGCCCATTTTTCTTTGTTGTTATTGGTTTAATTTTTTTTTTTAAATGATTACACAAAACCAAAACACAAGCCGTTTCTTCCACTTTTTTATATTAAAGGACATTGTGGAAATGGAAAAATGGGATAGTTTTTGTTGTTGTTTAAATTATTATTATTTTTTTTTTAAATGGTTTGAAATGGAAAAATAAACAAATTGTCCCACTTTCTGTTTTTTGTTTGTTTGTTTGTTTTTTTCCTTTAAAAAAATGGAATTTAAAAAGTGGGCCAGTTTTCTGTGCTTTTTCCCCCGTTCTTCTTGTTGTTGGTTTAAAGGTAAAATTAGAAAAATGTGTTCCAGTTTTTTGGTATTTGACAGGAAAACAGACTTTAGTACTCAGACCGTATAACGTCTCTGTGTTTGATGCTACAGGGCAGATTCTACAGCTGCACTGATGAAGCCAAACACACTCCAGACGAGTGCAAGTATGTTTTCTTTCTTCATTCAATACAAAGCCATTGACAATCTTACAACATATGGTTTACTTCATGAAACACTTTTACGTGCCTAATTTCAGGGGAACTTTTGTGGTCTACAAAGACGGAGATATGAACCACCCCATGGTCAGAGAGCGGATCTGGCAAAACAGTGATTTCAACTTTGACAATGTGCTGATGGGCATGTTGGCCTTATTCACTGTGTCAACGTTTGAAGGCTGGCCACAGTGAGTCGTGACTTCAGTTTGTTTTAATGCAAAGACAAGGCTGCATTTCTTTATTGTCAACAAATCCCATTTGTCTATACATTTCCCACTACCTTCCTTACGCTGTCTGCCATTCTTTAGTCACAAATATATAATCACAAATATCCCTCTGTTCATCTGTTCAGTGTTGTGAATGTGATATCTCTTGAATGCCTTGAGAGGTTTTCTTCAAATGTGGCACCAAGATTTACTTTGACTTAATGATGATTTTGTTGGTCTAAATTTCACTGTGACATGTTTTTGGCCATAAGTCAGGAATTCACTTGCTACTTATTTACCTACTTTGTAATAGGTTCAAATCATAAAGTGGAAACATTTTATATTGGAAAGGTCTAGATCCTTGCTTGTGGAACTGTCGAATTGTAAGATCAAATGTGATATAATGTTAGTCAGTAACAGGTTTCCTGTCATTATCAGTGACATAACTCAGAAACAATAAGGTGTATTGTGACCATGTTTCACATTTGGTCGAATGCTTGTTTTGGTGACACCAGTCTTAAGTGTCCACATATTACATTTCTTCAAAAATCATCATTATATACATTTCATACGCAGATGTGGATGATGTTTTTATATGGCTCTCTAATACCCTAGCAAGTTTTACATGACTAAAACAGGATTTTAAATAATTTAAAATAAAGAAACTTGCCTCTTTGTTGTGATATGTATGGCAAAATATCATCATTCCTGTTCGTTGAGCTTTATATAGATCTAATCAGTGTCTGACCAGGAATCACAACCTCACCTTTGTGCTTTTTTCTTGTTCACAGGCTCCTTTACCGGGCCGTGGATGCCAACGCCATAAACCGAGGCCCTATTTACAACTACCGAGTAGAAATCTCCATCTTTTTCATCATCTACATCATCATCATTGCCTTCTTCATGATGAACATATTTGTGGGTTTTGTCATCATCACATTTCGAGAACAAGGAGAGGCCGAGTTCAAGAACTGCGAACTGAACAAAAATCAAGTTAGTCATTTTACAAAACCTTGATTTATAGTCTTATTTTTGGTTTCAATGTATGTTATTATCCATGCTTTCAGATATGCAGCATGTTTATTTCATTGTTTTGTACTAAACAATGTCTTTGTGTTTCTTTTCACCCTACCCAGCGTCAGTGTGTGTATTATGCACTAAAAGCTCAACCTATAAAGATTTACATTCCCAAAAACCCATCCCAGCTCAAATTCTGGAAAATTATCAACTCCAGCCAGTTTGAGTACGTCATGTTTGTACTGATTCTGGGAAACACCCTCACTCTGGCTGTTCAGGTACCATTTCATACAAATCTGTCATGAATCACAGAAATATTGAATCTGTTTCGGCATGCTGATGTGAAGCTTTGTGATGCTGTTTCTCTCTAAGCATTACGAGCAGTCCAAACTCTTCACCTCCATCATGGACATCCTCAACATGATCTTCACTGTGGTTTTCACTATAGAGATGATCATCAAGTTACTGGCTCTGCGGGCTCATGTGAGGCTTCCACTCTTTTATCTTTGACAACAGCATTCATTACGATTTGCTCCTCTGTCTGTTGTTTACTCTCGGTTCGCTTTTTGTTCTTCCGTGTAGCACTATTTCATTGATCCTTGGAACTCATTTGATGCGCTGATTGTCGTGGGGAGCGTGTTGGACATTGCAGTCTCTGAGTTTAGCGTAAGTTTCTTCACTCTTCCACAAAGCAACACAATACAACAGAAAGAGTACACCCCTGTGCAGTATGACTGAAATGTGATGTGCTTCAAAACTTTATCGCCTCTCTATAATGGGATTATTATTTAAGTTAATGAGTAGAGTGTTTTAGCTTATGAACAATCAAAAACAAATATTTTAGAAATACTATATTGAAAATACAGCCTCCAAAATAGAAACTTTTAATACAAGAGTTAATAAACCCGTAATCATTGATGCACAAGTTAGAAAATTTGTGATATTTGAAAACTGGATAGACCTGTGAATTCCAGTTAGCTTAATTGCATGAAAATGGTCATAAAATGATCTGTGAACTTTCTCAACTTTAGACCTATAGACTGTGTCTACCTGCATGTCTGCATTATGGTTCCACTAAGAGAATAATTATCAGAGGATCTAAAAAATCTGATTGTGGGACAATAATGGAAAGACGTACCAAAAGACTGGTAGCTAAATAAAAATCATTGTAAACACAGCAGTAATCTGGAAGTATAGAACAAGTCATAGTAGCACTAAGTACAGTCACAGAGGTCATCCTTCTAAAATGACACAGTGAACAAGGTACTACTTGTACAATTCAGTTCTGAAGAACAGACCAGCATGTGCTTTAGAGTTGGCACAGAGGTTATCAACCATATTCAGAGTTTTGATGCATGACATCCAACTCTATGAACAGCATTCGAATAAAACACTGATACTTGCTCTATAGCACAAAACTGCAAGATTAAACTTTCGTGAACACCATGATAAGATGCCTAATGAATTTTAGATTAAATTAGATAGAACTTCGATAAGGTAGAACTTTATTGATCCCTATGGTAGGGTACTTATGGGAAATTGTTGACTTTTAGGAAAATTTCAGAATTTTCTGGTTGAAGGAGACCAAGATAATGTTGTTAAGCTCAGATGTGGTCCAACATATTTGCTATGAACCTGGTCAGGAATGCCACAATGAGTGCATAGTCCTGACAGCAAAGCACAGATGTGGGAGCAGTTCAATATTGGGAACACGAAAGTCTCTCGTAGATGGGATCATGTATGCCTGTGGATATACACAAGAGTTTCTAAAAGAGAGAAAAGCGACAACTATGGCACCACAACAGTTCAACTTCCATGTAAAACATGCAATATTTACTTTTATGGAACAGTTTTACAACAAATCTGTAAACTTTTTGTTGTTTCACCTGATGCCAGTTTCTCATTTTAAAGCCTTTATCAGCCGATACTGATGAGGTGCTAACATCATTGTGCATCACTACTGTATGTACACTATGTTGCAGTGTTTCTTCAACTGCTGTGAAAAAATACGCAAGAATGGATCTCCAAGCTTTTTTCTTTCACATCAAATCAAATAAATGTCATGACATTCCACTATCACAGATAAATACTGTATTAAAGCCTTTATATGAGCCTGTAGCAACACTTGTTGTTTTAAAACCACTGATCTGGAAATTTAAAAAACTTGGGATGCTAGTAGCTCTGGTCCTTTCTCAGTTAATACCATATTTATAACAAAAAATATTCAGATTCTCAGATTTTGATTACCTCAAAATATGACCAGAGAATAATTGAGATGCCCCAAAGAAAACTACTAATACCATTGGAGCTGGAGGTATTAACAATCAGCATACTCACAGAGGGTACATTACAGGCTGATCTCACTATTATTTAAATACATATATTGGCTTCTTTTAAACCAAAATGGATTTGTGTTCCACCTAAAAGTTTAGAGACAACTTAAAAAAAAATCTCAAGCATGAAACAAACTGACTGGGAAGCACCACCTGATTATTTCTAATATTGTGGCTGCTCAGTCTGTAATGTGCTGAGATGTTAAGTTACTACCTCGTTGAAGTGATTTAACTGATATCTCACTCTACAAATGAAACCAACAGTGCTTGACGGCTTTTTAATTTCTTTCCTCCTACATGGCGTCCCTGCCTGTTGTTGACTGCCTGAAATATTGATCCAGGGAGGAGGCGGCCACGGAGAGGTGAGAACTGGATACCGGCACTGGAACGCTCAGTGTGTTTTAGGATTTAGATATTCTCTTAACATAACCGTGCATTAGCTTTCTCGTTAGAGTTTACTCGCTTTGTTACATGTTTAGCAAAGCTTTTAATTTATCTAAAAAGAATATTCAAAGGTAGAACATCTTAAATTTCTGCAAAGTACTTGTATTTGTACTGTGATTATAGCCAAATTATTCAATTTTAGCAATCCATCTCACTTCAGTGCAACCTCTTTTTCTAACACAGTATGTATTTACCTGTCTGTCTCGACACGTTTTCCTTCCAGGGTGGTGGGAAAGGAGAAAGTGGAAAAGTGTCCATCACGTTCTTCCGTTTATTCCGAGTGCTGAGGTTGGTGAAACTGCTCAGCAAAGGAGAGGGCATTCGAACTCTTCTCTGGACTTTTGTCAAATCTCTGCAGGTAAGAGCAGCACTGAGTACAAAAAGAAAAACACATCCACATAAATCAAAAGTGTCTTGGCGCTTTTACTGTGCTGTAACTGTAACTGTGCTCTTGACTTTTATCTGCTCAGGCTTTACCGTACGTTGGCCTCCTCATTGCTATGATCTTCTTCATCTACGCTGTGATCGGCATGCAGGTGAGTGTTTCCTTTAAAAGCAGAAGGTTTTGATTAGATTATACTATATCTCTTCCACTAACTATAATCAATCAAGAAGCTAATAATTGATCAAAACAGTTGAAGTCACACAAGAGAGTCTGCCTTCAGTTCACTGAGTTATTATTGTTCTTTTTTAGCATCTTATACAACATCTTTATTACACTTAACATGTTTGGGTTTTTTTTTTTATTATTTGATCATGTTTGAATCAGACCATCCTTGATCTATTGTCAGGATTGTGAACATGATATCCATGCCAATAAACTGTACTGACTTGAAAATGAAACTGTAAATTTCTCATCAAGTGCACCACTGACTGCTGTCCTTTTTAGACATTTGGGAAAGTGGCAGTTGATGACGACACACACATCAACAGAAACTGCAACTTCCAGACCTTCTTCATGGCTGTTCTGGTCCTTTTCAGGTGAGCCATTTTAAGAGCCATATTCCAAACATGTTTCTTACAACACTCTTCCTTCTTCAGTTAATGCCAGTATTCATGCTGCTTTTACTAAGAGCTTTCATCATCTAATATTAGCTCCAAGTTTTTAGCTCCGACTCAAAATTTCTTTGACTCGCAAACTCAATTGAAATTCACACTTGTCCTTTCACAGAGTTTAGAAGGTCTAGATGTCAGTGTGTGAGTAATGGATAAATGAAAACACTGCCTCCTGCCTCCCTGCAGGTGTGCCACAGGAGAGCAGTGGCAGGAGATCATGTTGGCAGCTCTGCCCGGCAGACGCTGTGACCCAGAATCTGACACTGAGCCCGGTGAAGAGTTCAGCTGTGGTAGCAACTTGTCCTACATCTACTTCATCAGCTTCTTCATGCTCTGCGCTTACCTGGTGAGTGGAGCCACGGAGGATTAAAGCCCATTTATTTCTTTAATCGCTTCCTTCTCAGATCATTTGTAGTAAAACACTTTCCCTCTTTTGGAACACAGCCTCCTGACTCCAGATTAAATTTAGGTCTAATTAATTCAAACTCGTGTTTCACAGTCTATCTGGTCCAGTGGAATCAAAGTCAGAAGAAAGTAGTGAGGATAGTGTTACAGCAGCAGCATTTTAAAAGCTTACCCTGTCTTCTCCCGTTCCCAGCTCTTCAGTGAACTCCCATCCATGGATTTTATTAATCCAGACAGCAGACCCAAATCACAAAATCCAGATTTAAAAAGCTTGCAAATGTTTTGGTAACAGTTTAGTGACCTCAGTGCTATTTTAAGGGTAAAAATAGAGGTGACTTTAACCTTTTGGAGGAGCAGGTTCCAAGTGGAGCCTCATGCATTATCTAGCTGCTGCACACCTGAAGAGGAAATAGTAGAAACTGAAAATATAGCAAAATAAATGTCAGTTTACCTGCCTAAAATGATCAACAGTGCCCCATAATAATGTGTATATAAACCAGTGCCTTTCATTACGACAAACTACACTTAAACTACGCATTAAATGACGTCAGCAGACGCTAAACTATTAATTATTGGCCCTTGACAATGAAACACAGAACATAATGTTTTATGAAGACTGATACTGGAGCCCCAGAAAGGTCATATCAGTACACATATATGTATGTATTCATATTTCCTACCAAAAATACAGTAATTGATAATCATTTTACCAATGGAAACCCAGGTTCCAGTTTTTTGCTGTTTTGAGATGCCAAAATAGTGACGTGGACTCATTCATAGTGCCTTTTTCTCATTATTTGTGTGAAGTTACAAGTGGTTTCCATGTTGTCCTCATGTTTAAATTTCACAACTCAAGAGGCTTATTTTACTTTATTGAATGTTTCCAAATGTACACTTGAAATGAGCACTGCTCAGAGAACATGATGATAATTCACCACACATCACAATAAATCCCATGTTTATTGAAACACGTCATGGCAAGGGCTAATGAATAAAACGTTTACATTTGCTGGAGTCATTCAACCATATGGATATTGAACCCTTAAAGTAACTTCCCAAAATTCAATAAAAAAAATATTTTTCCAGAACTTGACTTTGGTTCCTCAAGAACAAATACAAAAACAAAGTTTGACACAGGGGGGGCACAATGTTTGTTGAATTCTATCTGAATTGAGACAGACTGAACCAAAGGCCGGAAACTCAAGCATGAAGAAAAAAAAAGTTCCTCCCTTTAATATTCGTCCCTCTAATCCTATCTATGAATCTAATGCAGTCCACAGATTTTCAAATGTCTCTTTTAATTTTGCCTTTAGTTTGACCTTTTTCTCAGTCTGAGCTGCCTTGTTGCTCCTTGAAGATTTACACCAGCAGTGTCCAGGTTCATGTTCTCTTCTTGTGTGTCTTGAACTCCTTCTATGGTTTCTTCCCTTCTTGACAGCTGACATCCATCAGTCTGTGTGTGGTCTACGACCTTTAGCAGAGACCCCCCCGGCAGCTAAAATAGAACAGTAACCCCTGTGTCCTCCTGTGTTTTGCTGTATTCACAAAACTGGGCAGACTGACATGCACATTATTGTCCTTTACAAAAAATCAGTCTCATTAACTTGTGTATCTAATATCAAACATCTGCACAGTGAAATTATTCTTTGATGTTGGCCTTGTACAGAGACTACTGATGTGGTGCTTTCACACAGATTTTTTTAAAATGATTGTACTTGTTTTGTTTCTGTCTTTCTGTCAGATTATCAACTTATTCATTGCTGTTATCATGGACAACTTTGAATATCTAACACGAGACTGGACCGTGCTCGGCACTCATCACCTGGACGAGTTTAAGAGAGTTTGGTCTGACTACGATCCAGAGGCCACGTAAGACTTGTGTCTCTTTTTTCCTCCTCTGTTAACGTGGAGGTTTCCAGCCTTGTTTCCCTTTCTGTGTCTGTCCTATCAGCTCTGTGTTTATCTCCCTATTGCAGTGGCCGTATAAAGCACATCGATGTGGTCACTATGCTGCGGAGGATTCAGCCACCTCTTGGCTTTGGAAAACTATGTCCTCATCGCGTTGCGTGCAAGGTGAGTAATCACACATTCAGTGCTGCACATTTGGTGCTAGAAACAGGAGCAACCAGGTGGATGTGACTCTTCCTGCTTCAATTTTGAACCCTCAGAGACTGGTCGCTATGAATGTCCCGCTGCATGCTGATGGGACGGTCACCTTCAACGCTACTCTGTTTGCTCTGGTGCGAACTTCACTCAAGATCAAGACCGAAGGTTCGACCTTCCACAGATACACAGACACATGAGACGAGGTTGCTCATTGGAATAAGGGTTTCATGTGAGGATCTGTTGTTTGTGCTCCACTCAGGCCCCATCGACCAGCAGAATGAAGAGCTGAAGGTGATTATTAAGAAGCTCTGGAAACGCACGAAGCCTAAACTCATCGATGAAGTCATTCCTCCCCCTAGAGGTACATCACAAAATTACACAGCTGTCGACCACAATGACAAGAAAAGAAATATTAGATGAAGCTTTTACTTTTAGAAACAAAACTAAAAACAAAAAAGTATATATTATATAAATCTCACTATCCAAAGAAGTGTTTGTATAACTGGAATTCATTTAACAACCATCTAAAGTCAATTTTTTTTCTTTCCTCAGGGGACGAGGTGACTTGTGGGAAGTTTTATGCCAGCTTCTTGATTCAAGACTATTTTAAAAAGTATCGCAAGAGAAAAGAGAGGGAGAGGAAATCCAAAAAGAAGGACAAGGCGGCTTCTCTGCAGGTAACTTGTGCTATTCAAGCCAGAGAACCGCACCTGACATGTTTTATTTTATGGGTTTTTTTCAACAAAAATGTTCAAATGTCTTGTTAAACGTTCACATACAAGTTGAATATTGAACCATGTTTGCCTTCCAGACAAGTTGTGATGTCACAAAATTAGTGGTGGAAGAAGTATGCAGATCTTGTAGAAAATATTCTGCTACACATTAACACATTAAAAGTCTTGCATTTCAATTTTTACTCAAGTGAAAGCACCAAAAGAAACAGTACTCATTATACAGAGAGGTTCGTTTGAAAATAATGTATATTATTGAATTAGAATTGCTGATGCATTACTGTGTTCATCACNTAGAGTGTTTTAGCTTATGAACAATCAAAAACAAATATTTTAGAAATACTATATTGAAAATACAGCCCCCAAAATAGAAACTTTTAATACAAGAGTTAATAAACCCGTAATCATTGATGCACAAGTTAGAAAATTTGTGATATTTGAAAACTGGATACACCTGTGAATTCCAGTTAGCTTAATTGCATGAAAATGGTCATAAAATGATCTGTGAACTTTCTCAACTTTAGACCTATAGACTGTGTCTACCTGCATGTCTGCATTATGGTTCCACTAAGAGAATAATTATCAGAGGATCTAAAAAATCTGATTGTGGGACAAAAATGGAAAGACGTACCAAAAGACTGGTAGCTAAATAAAAATCATTGTAAACACAGCAGTAATCTGGAAGTATAGAACAAGTCATAGTAGCACTAAGTACAGTCACAGAGGTCATACTTCTAAAATGACACAGTGAACAAGGTACTACTTGTACAATTCAGTTCTGAAGAACAGACCAGCATGTGCTTTAGAGTTGGCACAGAGGTTATCAACCATATTCAGAGTTTTGATGCATGACATCCAACTCTATGAACAGCATTCGAATAAAACACTGATACTTGCTCTATAGCACAAAACTGCAAGATTAAACTTTCGTGAACACCATGATAAGATGCCTAATGAATTTTAGATTAAATTAGATAGAACTTCGATAAGGTAGAACTTTATTGATCCCTATGGTAGGGTACTTATGGGAAATTGTTGACTTTTAGGAAAATTTCAGAATTTTCTGGTTGAAGGAGACCAAGATAATGTTGTTAAGCTCAGATGTGGTCCAACATATTTGCTATGAACCTGGTCAGGAATGCCACAATGAGTGCATAGTCCTGACAGCAAAGCACAGATGTGGGAGCAGTTCAATATTGGGAACACGAAAATCTCTCGTAGATGGAATCATGTATGCCTGTGGATATACACAAGAGTTTCTAAAAGAGAGAAAAGCGACAACTATGGCACCACAACAGTTCAACTTCCATGTAAAACATGCAATATTTATTTTCAACAGTTTTACAACAAATCTGTAAACTTTTTGTTGTTTCACCTGATGCCAGTTTCTCATTTTAAAGCCTTTATCAGCCGATACTGATGAGGTGCTAACATCATTGTGCATCACTACTGTTTGTACAGTATGTTGCAGTGTTTCTTCAACTGCTGTGAAAAAATACGCAAGAATGGATCTCCAAGCTTTTTTCTTTCACATCAAATCAAATAAATGTCATGACATTCCACTATCACAGATAAATACTGTATTAAAGCCTTTATATGAGCCTGTAGCAACACTTGTTGTTTTAAAACCACTGATCTGGAAATTTAAAAAACTTGGGATGCTAGTAGCTCTGGTCCTTTCTCAGTTAATACCATATTTATAACAAAAAATATTCAGATTCTCAGATTTTGATTACCTCAAAATATGACCAGAGAATAATTGAGATGCCACAAAGAAAACTACTAATACCATTGGAGCTGGAGGTATTAACAATCAGCATACTCACAGAGGGTACATTACAGGCTGATCTCACTATTATTTAAATACATATATTGGCTTCTTTTAAACCAAAATGGATTTGTGTTCCACCTAAAAGTTTAGAGACAACTTAAAAAAAAATCTCAAGCATGAAACAAACTGACTGGGAAGCACCACCTGATTATTTCTAATATTGTGGCTGCTCAGTCTGTAATGTGCTGAGATGTTAAGTTACTACCTCGTTGAAGTGATTTAACCGATATCTCACTCTACAAATGAAACCAACAGTGCTTGACGGCTTTTTAATTTCTTTCCTCCTACATGGCGTCCCTGCCTGTTGTTGACTGCCTGAAATATTGATCCAGGGAGGAGGCGGCCACGGAGAGGTGAGAACTGGATACCGGCACTGGAACGCTCAGTGTGTTTTAGGATTTAGATATTCTCTTAACATAACCGTGCATTAGCTTTCTCGTTAGAGTTTACTCGCTTTGTTACATGTTTAGCAAAGCTTTTAATTTATCTAAAAAGAATATTCAAAGGTAGAACATCTTAAATTTCTGCAAAGTACTTGTATTTGTACTGTGATTATAGCCAAATTATTCAATTTTAGCAATCCATCTCACTTCAGTGCAACCTCTTTTTCTAACACAGTATGTATTTACCTGTCTGTCTCGACACGTTTTCCTTCCAGGGTGGTGGGAAAGGAGAAAGTGGAAAAGTGTCCATCACGTTCTTCCGTTTATTCCGAGTGCTGAGGTTGGTGAAACTGCTCAGCAAAGGAGAGGGCATTCGAACTCTTCTCTGGACTTTTGTCAAATCTCTGCAGGTAAGAGCAGCACTGAGTACAAAAAGAAAAACACATCCACATAAATCAAAAGTGTCTTGGCGCTTTTACTGTGCTGTAACTGTAACTGTGCTCTTGACTTTTATCTGCTCAGGCTTTACCGTACGTTGGCCTCCTCATTGCTATGATCTTCTTCATCTACGCTGTGATCGGCATGCAGGTGAGTGTTTCCTTTAAAAGCAGAAGGTTTTGATTAGATTATACTATATCTCTTCCACTAACTATAATCAATCAAGAAGCTAATAATTGATCAAAACAGTTGAAGTCACACAAGAGAGTCTGCCTTCAGTTCACTGAGTTATTATTGTTCTTTTTTAGCATCTTATACAACATCTTTATTACACTTAACATGTTTGGGTTTTTTTTTTTATTATTTGATCATGTTTGAATCAGACCATCCTTGATCTATTGTCAGGATTGTGAACATGATATCCATGCCAATAAACTGTACTGACTTGAAAATGAAACTGTAAATTTCTCATCAAGTGCACCACTGACTGCTGTCCTTTTTAGACATTTGGGAAAGTGGCAGTTGATGACGACACACACATCAACAGAAACTGCAACTTCCAGACCTTCTTCATGGCTGTTCTGGTCCTTTTCAGGTGAGCCATTTTAAGAGCCATATTCCAAACATGTTTCTTACAACACTCTTCCTTCTTCAGTTAATGCCAGTATTCATGCTGCTTTTACTAAGAGCTTTCATCATCTAATATTAGCTCCAAGTTTTTAGCTCCGACTCAAAATTTCTTTGACTCGCAAACTCAATTGAAATTCACACTTGTCCTTTCACAGAGTTTAGAAGGTCTAGATGTCAGTGTGTGAGTAATGGATAAATGAAAACACTGCCTCCTGCCTCCCTGCAGGTGTGCCACAGGAGAGCAGTGGCAGGAGATCATGTTGGCAGCTCTGCCCGGCAGACGCTGTGACCCAGAATCTGACACTGAGCCCGGTGAAGAGTTCAGCTGTGGTAGCAACTTGTCCTACATCTACTTCATCAGCTTCTTCATGCTCTGCGCTTACCTGGTGAGTGGAGCCACGGAGGATTAAAGCCCATTTATTTCTTTAATCGCTTCCTTCTCAGATCATTTGTAGTAAAACACTTTCCCTCTTTTGGAACACAGCCTCCTGACTCCAGATTAAATTTAGGTCTAATTAATTCAAACTCGTGTTTCACAGTCTATCTGGTCCAGTGGAATCAAAGTCAGAAGAAAGTAGTGAGGATAGTGTTACAGCAGCAGCATTTTAAAAGCTTACCCTGTCTTCTCCCGTTCCCAGCTCTTCAGTGAACTCCCATCCATGGATTTTATTAATCCAGACAGCAGACCCAAATCACAAAATCCAGATTTAAAAAGCTTGCAAATGTTTTGGTAACAGTTTAGTGACCTCAGTGCTATTTTAAGGGTAAAAATAGAGGTGACTTTAACCTTTTGGAGGAGCAGGTTCCAAGTGGAGCCTCATGCATTATCTAGCTGCTGCACACCTGAAGAGGAAATAGTAGAAACTGAAAATATAGCAAAATAAATGTCAGTTTACCTGCCTAAAATGATCAACAGTGCCCCATAATAATGTGTATATAAACCAGTGCCTTTCATTACGACAAACTACACTTAAACTACGCATTAAATGACGTCAGCAGACGCTAAACTATTAATTATTGGCCCTTGACAATGAAACACAGAACATAATGTTTTATGAAGACTGATACTGGAGCCCCAGAAAGGTCATATCAGTACACATATATGTATGTATTCATATTTCCTACCAAAAATACAGTAATTGATAATCATTTTACCAATGGAAACCCAGGTTCCAGTTTTTTGCTGTTTTGAGATGCCAAAATAGTGACGTGGACTCATTCATAGTGCCTTTTTCTCATTATTTGTGTGAAGTTACAAGTGGTTTCCATGTTGTCCTCATGTTTAAATTTCACAACTCAAGAGGCTTATTTTACTTTATTGAATGTTTCCAAATGTACACTTGAAATGAGCACTGCTCAGAGAACATGATGATAATTCACCACACATCACAATAAATCCCATGTTTATTGAAACACGTCATGGCAAGGGCTAATGAATAAAACGTTTACATTTGCTGGAGTCATTCAACCATATGGATATTGAACCCTTAAAGTAACTTCCCAAAATTCAATAAAAAAAATATTTTTCCAGAACTTGACTTTGGTTCCTCAAGAACAAATACAAAAACAAAGTTTGACACAGGGGGGGCACAATGTTTGTTGAATTCTATCTGAATTGAGACAGACTGAACCAAAGGCCGGAAACTCAAGCATGAAGAAAAAAAAAGTTCCTCCCTTTAATATTCGTCCCTCTAATCCTATCTATGAATCTAATGCAGTCCACAGATTTTCAAATGTCTCTTTTAATTTTGCCTTTAGTTTGACCTTTTTCTCAGTCTGAGCTGCCTTGTTGCTCCTTGAAGATTTACACCAGCAGTGTCCAGGTTCATGTTCTCTTCTTGTGTGTCTTGAACTCCTTCTATGGTTTCTTCCCTTCTTGACAGCTGACATCCATCAGTCTGTGTGTGGTCTACGACCTTTAGCAGAGACCCCCCCGGCAGCTAAAATAGAACAGTAACCCCTGTGTCCTCCTGTGTTTTGCTGTATTCACAAAACTGGGCAGACTGACATGCACATTATTGTCCTTTACAAAAAATCAGTCTCATTAACTTGTGTATCTAATATCAAACATCTGCACAGTGAAATTATTCTTTGATGTTGGCCTTGTACAGAGACTACTGATGTGGTGCTTTCACACAGATTTTTTTAAAATGATTGTACTTGTTTTGTTTCTGTCTTTCTGTCAGATTATCAACTTATTCATTGCTGTTATCATGGACAACTTTGAATATCTAACACGAGACTGGACCGTGCTCGGCACTCATCACCTGGACGAGTTTAAGAGAGTTTGGTCTGACTACGATCCAGAGGCCACGTAAGACTTGTGTCTCTTTTTTCCTCCTCTGTTAACGTGGAGGTTTCCAGCCTTGTTTCCCCTTTTGTATCTGTCCTATCAGCTCTGTGTTTATCTCCCTATTGCAGTGGCCGTATAAAGCACATCGATGTGGTCACTATGCTGCGGAGGATTCAGCCACCTCTTGGCTTTGGAAAACTATGTCCTCATCGCGTTGCGTGCAAGGTGAGTAATCACACATTCAGTGCTGCACATTTGGTGCTAGAAACAGGAGCAACCAGGTGGATGTGACTCTTCCTGCTTCAATTTTGAACCCTCAGAGACTGGTCGCTATGAATGTCCCGCTGCATGCTGATGGGACGGTCACCTTCAACGCTACTCTGTTTGCTCTGGTGCGAACTTCACTCAAGATCAAGACCGAAGGTTCGACCTTCCACAGATACACAGACACATGAGACGAGGTTGCTCATTGGAATAAGGGTTTCATGTGAGGATCTGTTGTTTGTGCTCCACTCAGGCCCCATCGACCAGCAGAATGAAGAGCTGAAGGTGATTATTAAGAAGCTCTGGAAACGCACGAAGCCTAAACTCATCGATGAAGTCATTCCTCCCCCTAGAGGTACATCACAAAATTACACAGCTGTCGACCACGATGACAAGAAAAGAAATATTAGATGAAGCTTTTACTTTTAGAAACAAAACTAAAAACAAAAAAGTATATATTATATAAATCTCACTATCCAAAGAAGTGTTTGTATAACTGGAATTCATTTAACAACCATCTAAAGTCAATTTTTTTTCTTTCCTCAGGGGACGAGGTGACTTGTGGGAAGTTTTATGCCAGCTTCTTGATTCAAGACTATTTTAAAAAGTATCGCAAGAGAAAAGAGAGGGAGAGGAAATCCAAAAAGAAGGACAAGGCGGCTTCTCTGCAGGTAACTTGTGCTATTCAAGCCAGAGAACCGCACCTGACATGTTTTATTTTATGGGTTTTTTTCAACAAAAATGTTCAAATGTCTTGTTAAACGTTCACATACAAGTTGAATATTGAACCATGTTTGCCTTCCAGACAAGTTGTGATGTCACAAAATTAGTGGTGGAAGAAGTATGCAGATCTTGTAGAAAATATTCTGCTACACATTAACACATTAAAAGTCTTGCATTTCAATTTTTACTCAAGTGAAAGCACCAAAAGAAACAGTACTCATTATACAGAGAGGTTCGTTTGAAAATAATGTATATTATTGAATTAGAATTGCTGATGCATTACTGTGTTCATCACTTTAAATTTGCAGCTGGAAGCAGATATTAATGACTTTATTTACCGCGAGGTAATTTGTAAATGCCCCCTTGCATGAGGACAAGGAAAGTTCTGTTTTAATCTAATAATAATACAAATATTAAGAACAATTTATATATTGATTTAAAAAGCACAGTGGTGGATCCCACTTGTTGATCCATCACTGTACAAGCCATGAAAACCTACAATGAATCAGCTCAACTCAAAAATGTTGTATTTTTCAACATACACACAAGTAACTGATGATTACAATTATTAAATATATATAGCGGAGTCAGAAGTACAATATTGCTTTCTAAATTGTAGAAGAGAAGAAGTATAAAGTGCCAGAAAATGGAAAAACTCATTAACTCAAATTGTGTTAAATTAATTTTACTTGAATAAATGTGCTTAGTTACTCTACACCACTGCAAAAACATCTGTTTTAAACAGAGATTTTAAAAACAAAGAAACTTTCTGCCTTTAGATGCCGAGTTTGATCATCTGGTTTCAAATCCTTCTGTATAGTAAAGCTTCACATGAAGAAACAATGAGTCAAAAAAGTCTTTGAACAAAGGGGGTTTGGATAGTGCTCAGCAATAACTTTTAACCTATATCTGTGTGTTCTTAGCAAGGGCTGCGGACGCTGCAGGACCTGGCTCCAGAGATGCGTTTGGCGATGGCCTGTGACCTGGAAGACGAGGAGGCCACAGAGGGAGAGATGACTGCCGATGAGATATTCGACAGTGGAACGTCAGCGAACACGACGCCCGCCCCCACGCCAGTTCCACGTCTAGACATGCTGGTAGAGCAGACGACCGTCATCGTCGAACCCGAGCCCAAGGTCTCCAATGGGGACGTGATCACCGAGCAGGTGACGGGGTTGCAGGAGCACCAGAGACCAGGGTCAGAGCTGGCAGGTCTAAGCATTGTGACGGAGCAGCCTGTGAGGTCTGAGCCTCTGCCCTTCAGGTGTGTTTTAATATATTCATACACTGGCACTGCGATCTTTGAAAGCCAAGGGTTGATTCCTGACTTGCCTGTTCTCTCCGGTTCTCAACAAACAGAGCTGACTCGGTGACTGAGCTGCCTCCTCCTCCTCCTCCTCCTCCTCCAGAGATGTCCGGTGGAGGAGAAGTTATAGCTGAAGAACCAGTTGTTGTGGCTGCTGGAGGAGTTGAGCAATTTTACAGCAGTGAGGGAGACGCTGCAAGTCTAGCATCAGTAGACAGGTGAGAAATATCGATTTATTAAAAGTCACTGTATGTTTTATACATCTCTATTTTTATACACCTCTTGATTTTTATCTTCCCACATAGTTTTGTGAGTTTAGAATTGGCTGTTTGCACTGAATGGGATTGCACTTAATTTTGTTGTGCTTTTTTCCGAATGGCATTAAAGATTCTGATTCTGAAATAAGGAAGATCATCAGAAGAGATGCAGGATATGTGTCATAAATGATTAATTAAATGTAGAATGTATTTGCTTTCTTGCTTAGAGTCAGATAAGAAAATCAATATTCACTCTCTAATCTGCCAATTTAGTAAAAAGCAAGAGTAGGAGACTATAGTTCAGCATTCATGCCCTAAACAAATGGGGGAACATTTAGTAAAGCATAAAACTCTACTTTAACATGCTATATTTTGTTCTCCATCTGTTCGATCTTGTAGGTATGCGTACCCAGAGGGTGTCTCTCCTGTACCCACTGAGACCGGCTACAATGTCCAGAGTCTGGAAAGAGCGAGCAGCATCGGAGAAATACCCTATGACACTCATCACACCAATGGCTTTGTGAGCAACGGCTACAGCGACGCCAACATGAACAGTGGAAGTGTTGCCGCAAGTCCCACTCCCTACTCTGAGAACGGATACAATGGGAATGGATACACAGGCTATAATGGGAACGGCAGCATAATCAGCGCCAATGGAAATGGAAGCACAATGAGCGGCTGCAATGAAAATGGCAGCACCGTCGATGGTTACAACGGGAACGGCTACAACGGAAATGAGAACAGCAGCACACAGTTTGTCAGGAGACGGCTACTTCCTACCATACCCAAAGGTGAGAAACCTACGCTTTCATTTGGTTTCTTTTTTCCTCCTCTTTTTCTGATCCTTAACCCTCCGAACTAGCAGTTTGGAGTGCTTTTTTGCTCCTGTCCCATTTTTACTTTTACTTTGGGCTCATTTTTCACTAGAATATAAAGTCCTGCACTCTATGGAAACATGAGAACCATAACTAGAAGTAGAGGGACCTCTTAATAGTCTTATTTTCAGTATGACACAGTTCTAATGCCATTACACATAAAAAAAAAAAAAAAAAAGAAAACTTGAAAGTTGAATTTCTTTGATTATTTATTTTACAAAACTTGACAAAAAATAGAATCAAGTTGTACTACATTTTTCCAAACACCCACTGTTTTTACCAGACATGGGAAAAAATAATGACTTTACATACTGTAGACACGTTACATGTTAAAGTTTTTGTTTCCATACTTGTCTCCCATCTGCTCTGTGCAACCACAGCCTGCAGTTCTGCCTAAATGTTTGTCACATGGCTGTTGGTCATGACTGAGTGAGTCTTGGATTCACTGTTGCACAGAATGTTTTGTTTTATACACGATCTGGTTAGAGCAAATAATTTATTTTTGGCAAATTTTTCAAACCGGACTTGTAGTAGAAAGTGATTTTTGATGAAATATCAAAATTTGGTTAGTTTTTCAAACAGTAAATCACACACAATTAGTTCAAGGACTGCAGGAAAGTTTAAAAACATCAGTTATTTCTGTTTTTTGCAGTGTCTGGCTCTGATGGTGTCATTTTGGCAATTTTTTTAAAAGCTACTTTAGAGGGTTAAAAAAAAAATAGCATGTTATTCACACAACATGCAGCTGCAATGAAAGTTTAAATACTTTTTCAAGCAAAAGTACCCAAATTTTATGGTTCCATATTCTCATGTGACGTTTGGTTGTTGCTTTTCTTTGTCTCATTATAAACTGAATGTCTTTGGGTGTCTTTTGAACTTGGACATTTGAGGAGAAGTGATGTTTTACTGCTTTCTAATGTTTTTAGCACTAAACGACTTCCTATTGCATCCCAAAACATATGTACAGTCAGTGCTTATTTATTGAAAACCATCAGATTCTGTGTTGCTAGAACAATGAGTTTAATTTCCTAGTCTGTGGAATAATTACAAATCATGTATGCATGGGACTGAAGTCATAGACTTTTACTACAAATGCTCAAAGTTGAATTACCAACAGGACAAAGCAGGTCCTGGGATCCCAAACTTCTCTGTGAAACAGTTACTTGTGATTGTGAAGCACTAAAGCAGAATTATTAGGGACTTAAAGAGTATCTTTGCATATCATTTTAGATTGACATACTTGATGAATGCATGTTAACACAATCAGCGCACAACAGAGGGTCACTAGATACCCACAACTCTTTTTGGCCCTCAGGGACAATGCAGCCATTTTATTGCTGAATCTCTCCAAACAGGGTGCATCCAGCTCAGTTTTCTCACACGTCCACCTGCTTATTGTTTCAGGTCGTAAGCCTGCCTTTAACTTCCAGTGTCTGAGGCCACAGAGCAGCGTGGACGACCTCCCCATCCCAGGAACCTACCACGGCAACACGTCTCCAACCAGATCCCGTCTACAGGTAAAACAAAGACAAACACACACTCTCACAATGTAAGTGTTTATACTCAGGCAGTGTGTTGCTATATACACCGTTGCCCATACTGAGTCCCAATTACCAGGTGAAACCAATTCTGACTTTGGGGTCTGGCCTAAGAGTGGGACGTCCTGCCCACTGACACCATCAACAAGCTTGTGGACAGTATGCCACCATGTCTTAACACATTGATCCGTGTCAGGGGTGGCCGTACTCAATATTATTGACTGAGTGACATTTGAAAGAGTGATATTGGACATTCTAATGCCTGAAATCCCCTCCAATATGTGCTTCCTGTTGAACTGACCAAGGTTGAAAAATTGAAACAAAACACTTTATCCTATTGTTTCATGCCCTCAATTTTGTTTAAGTCTGAACACACAGTTTGCAAAAGTTAATTATAGTTTAATTTTTACTGTGATATGCATTGTATGTATATTGTGAACTCAATAACGTTTTGAGAAGATATATACTTTATCAAGAAAAAATCACAATCATTCCATGAGAAGAAGTAAAAAAACATATTATATTCCAACTTTATGGGCAACAGTGTAGTAGGCCAGGAAAAATGTTTAGTCTCTCCTAATACATGGTATGTCGGATGCCAAAAATACCCGTATGTCCGACTAAATCTCGTCAGATTTTGCAGTATTCTGTCCCACAATCCTCTGCGCAGTTACGTCATTTATCATGGTGTCTAACGTGAGTATAAACAAGTCTAAGCTGCTGAAAGCACACAGGCAGATGATGGCTGATTTTGTACCACAGACTGCAACAGTCAAAGTAGAATGTGCCAATTCTACGAATGCTGCTTGAACCAGTATTTACAATGTGAAGGCAGCTGTAGTACGTACTTCACGAACAAAGATTATAATTCTGTGTTTCTCATCTTGATTCACTGGTCGTCTTCTTTTTCTCTCCACTGTCAGACCCAGCACAGTCTGGACTCGCGGCCCAGCAGCGTGTCTTCGATGTCGTCCGCCTCCTGGGCCAACGCAACAGCAGCTGGCGCCACTCCTCTTCCAGGAATAATTGCCCCCTCAGGGCGCAGGGGTAAGCTCATCTACACTCCTATGATCCTGGTGGACGAAGCCACTGGTACCAGCCAGCCGCTGTGGAACGACGGGTCTGCCAGCCTTCCGGCAGGACGACGTCCTGGCTGGTACCCTGGTCAGACCAGGACCTTCACCAGCGTGAGGATGCCGCCTCCTGTCAACCAGGGCTTCGTAGACAAAGGCAGCGCAGACAGTCTGGTGGAGTCGGTAAGTAATCATGGAGCAAGTGATCTTAATGGATGAGAACAATAATGAAGCCACCTGTGCAGTATTTTGCTTCACTTTGAGCCCTCTGGCAGTTAGGTTTAGTGACTTATAAAGTTAAAACTGTATTTTCCACTTATATCTGCTGACATTTCAATAGCTAGATCAAAAGATAGGTTCACAATTTTTCAAATCTGAAATCAAACAATACTTAATAGAGGAGCTTTTCTGTAACTGGACAGTAACTTTGAGAGATACCGTCTTGGTTTAACAAACTGTTGTTGCCTTACATTTGCTCCAGTTGATCTTTGGAATGGATATTTAGCCAAAACAAGGAGTGCAGAGTTTGTTATCCATTGAGTACATATGAATCACATGAGGAAGGAAGCTCCTATTGTTTTAAGATGGACTATAAGATTCTGACGCTGTCCTTTGAGATACATGGATATCCCTGCTTTGATATCTACTGTAAATATCATGCAGGCAATGATGACAGAAAGAAAATGAAATTCTACAGTCAGTTAAATAATATCAGTAAAAAGATTATTCTGATTTTGAATACTGAAACTGTTTGACATATATCTGTGCACCACTGACAGATGTTCTTGGACTAAATATAATACCTTTTCATTCTACTAATGCACCTTAAATCCACATTGTGACAGAAAAAAGAAAGAGTCTGAGTTGCTTCTTGCTGGTGACAACAGGGTATTTCAGTTTGGTTCAGCGAATCTCTCAGCTGATAAGATTGTCTGTGCATTGAACAAATTAACAATCAGACTTGCATGAATGAGTGACTGACGGTATGATCCTCTCTTAAATTGTTGTTTTTCTCATCAACAACAACAGATCTTGATCTCCGAGGGTCTTGGCGTCTACGCCAGGGACCCAAAGTTCGTGACTTTTGCCAAGCGGGAGATTGCAGAAGCTTGTCACATGAGTCTGGACGAAATGGAGAACGCTGCTGCCGACCTGATAGCACGAGGAGCCAGTCAGTCGATTTCTCGCTTTGAGGATGAGCTGGCTGATGAAATGAACTGTGTGATTTCTTACTGAGATCAGCAACGTGAGAAAGTGAAAAGTGAGGTTTGTAAAAAAAAAAAAACAACAAAACAAAAAAAACCAAAAAGTCTCTCATGTGTGGAACATCCTACAAGTGATCAGTGAAGATGTTTTTTCTTTTCATACACAGTACGTTGAATGTATTTTACTTTTATTTGTGAATGCCAAAACATACACACACACTGATTTTAAGAGCACACGTCAGCATGTGGCAGGACTCAGCAGGGCTTCCCTGTGAACTGCCTGGTGAACATTTTCATTGCAGTGTTTTACAGAAGAGTCGTCTGTGGCTCTCAGCATTGGACTATTTTTTGCATTGTATTCTGGTTTTGTACTGTACTTGAATTGTTGTAACTTTATACACACGCGTTGAGTCGCAATTAAAGCGAAAAACTGTAAATAAGAGTGTAATAAACTCATACATGTAGCTCAATAGTACTTTTTACACAGATGATGAGAGTTTGTGAGTGTCCAGCAGCATTAGCTATTTCAGAAAAAATATTTAAATGCACTGAATTTCCTCTAACATGCAACATGCAAACTTGAAGCAAAAATATCTGAATGACTTTTTTGAGTTATTGGAACTATCTGGATGGGTGGGTATCGGATGGGCACAAATAAAAAAAACTGATGTTTTCTCAAGCGTATGTAATTTTTTTTTCTTGTGCATCGTTCCAAACAGTGCACTTAAGCTCAAAGGTTCTTTGTTTAATAGCGGATGTCTTAAACCACTGTGAAATATAATCAGTGAATTATATAATTAGCTATTAATGGACCAGCAGATGGACAACATCTGGGTTTCACTTCCCCCTTTAAACAAAAGACGTGTCTGAAGCAATAAGCCAGGCGTGTGTATTGTTCAAGGCTGTTGTGGTGGTGTGATGCTGCTGCACTGTGTTATGAACAGGACAGTTTACATCGCTGTAAAACCCTAAGTGGATTAAATGGAGGCTTAATTTGGGAGGTGCAGTTTTACATTTGGGGATTTGTATTGTCTCCTTCTACATTTTTAATAATGTTTAATCAGGTTAGCGGAGCCGGAAACCATGCATCCAAATCATGCAGTTCCAGAGCCAGAGACAACTGCAGAAATGTACAGAGCAAGAGCACAGAGAGAGAAAATAAATCACACGAGACACAGAGTTAATGGCATGCAGTTGTGAGATGCAAATGTATGGAGAGGTTCTCGGTGCATCATGGGAAATTCCCCCAGCAGCCTATTTCTATCGCAGTATAACTAACATATGGTACAGGGTCAATTTGAGTAGCCTTAACTATAAGCTTTATCAAAATGGAAAGTTTTAAGCAAAGGGGTTGTCTGACTCCCAAAACCCAAACTGTTCCACAGCAGAGGAGCCTCAAGTAAACCTGCAGTCTGAGAGTGTTCTGTAGAAATAGTATGGTACTGTGAGGTCTTTAAGATGCAGCAGAGCTTGGTCATTAAGAACTTTTAATGTAAAGAGAAGAACTAAATTCCATTTTGGATTTTACAAGGAATGAAGAAAAGCTAATGTTGGTGAAATATGATCTCTTGCTGGTTCCTATTAGAACTCGTCTGAACCACTTTTGACCAACTGAAGGTTTGTCATTGAGTTATTGGGACAAAACTAAGTTCTGTGAATTATTATGGATACATTTTGAGAATTTTGTTCTTCCAGACCTGGGATTTTTTTTTTTTCTTCCTCAAAAGATGTCTTAACTTGGAAAACATTTTAAGGGTTCAATGTCTCCAGAAATATAATCCTCACAATAATGAAATTTGGTAAGGACACAGACTAAATTGTTTACAGCAAATACAAATCACTGAATGACTCTAGCAGAGGCAAAACTTTTAACTATTGATTCCTGGAAATTGGAGAAAAAAAAAAAAAAGAAGGAAAATAAGGGGGGCATTTGGGCCCCAGAAAGTCCTTGTAAGTGTATTGATGAATATAGACGCATCCATTTTAGTCTTTGAATGAAGAATTTGATGCATGATAGTACGGTAAGCCGAGGCTTGAGTTTTCTGTTGTTTTGAAATGCTGAAACGGTGATGTGGACATAGGACCACAGAGACAGGTGTGCATAGGGGTCTGTATATTGTCATTACATGTGCGAAGTTACAAGTTTCTTCCATGTTATCTTCATGTTGAAATTCAACAAGTGAGCTTATTTTTCATACTTGAATGCCCCCATACTTAAAATTAACACTAAATGTTGCACTGCTTTCCATCTTTTCCATTCAGGGGCCAATTATTAAACATCCGGTCTCACTCTCATTTGGCTGGAGCCATTCAACCATTTGAATCTGCTCAAAACTATTTTGTTTGTGGTTTCACCAAACATTGGGATTGTATTTCGGGAGATATTGAACCTTAAATGTGTCTTCCCAGCTAGGGGGTTATATTTTCTCACACCTGGGAATTTCTTTAAAAATTCAAATTCTCAAAATTTAGCCTGAAATTATTTTTTGGCCCCAGTGAATACTTTATGATGACTGAACAAAAACCCAAGACAGTGCTGCAACGAATTTATTGAATTCTTAATTAATTTACACGAACCGACCAATGAACTAGTTTTTAGGCTTCAGTCTGAGACAGGATGTTCCTGATAACTACAAAGTTTCTTACAGTGGAGATGAAGACCAAGTCAGTGCTGACCAGAGTAACTTTATGGTGTTTTTCTGAATTTTTAGGGCCAAACACAAGGACTTCAGTTTTATCTGAGTTCAGAAGTTACAAGTCATCCACGCCTTTATGTCTTTAAAACATGCTTGAAGTTTCACTAGCTAATTTTTTTCATCTAACTTCATTGATTAATATAACCTTGTGTCACCAATGGAAATTTCTACAGTACTTCTTAATAATGATACTGTCTAAGACAAGCACGCTCAGGGTGACAAGTATGAGTCCTAACACAGAACTGAGGGGAACGCCATGAGTAGCTTTTATATGCTTGGTAACATAAACCAGTTGGAATCTATCCATCCATCCATTATCTATACATCGCTCGCTAGGGTCACGGGGGGCTGGAGCCTATCTAGGCTGACTTAGGGCGAAGGCAGGGGACACCCTGGACAGGTCACCAGTCTATCACAGGGCTACACTTAGAGACAGACAACCAAGCACACTCACATTCACACCTATGGATAATTTAGAATCAGCAGTTAACCTCAACAAGTTTTTGGACTGTGGGAGGAAGCCAGAGAACCCGGAGAGAACCCACGCTGCACGGCAACATGCAAACTCCACGCAGAAAGATCCCTGTTGTCCTCACTGGGACGCGAACCGGCAACCTTCTTGCTACAAGACAATGGTGCTAACCACCGAGCCACCTTGTAGCCCCCAATTGGGATTTGTTCACTAAAAATGATTTAAACCAACCTAGTGTAGTTCCTATAATCCCCAAAACATGTTTCAGTCTCTGTAATAAAATGTGGATGATCAATCATGTCAGCACTGCAGGACAATATCAATACAAGTCCTTTGACTGAGACAAACCTATTTTACCAGCGCTTCTGTCCTGACTGAAAATCTTTCCTGTGCAAATAACCACAGAGCTGATTTGCAGTAGCATGTTGAAGACATTCAGAGATAAAGGAGAGGTTTAATAGCCTATCTGTAGTTCACTATGTCTGGATCAAGAGGAAGCTTTTAAAGTAGAGCTTTAATTACAGCAACCTTAAAAGCCTACAGTGAGTAGTCCCTTGATAATGATAAACTGAGCAGAATTTAAAAGCGTTAATTATGGATGAAACATCCACAAGCAGACTAGTTTGGACAGGACTTAAAGGGTTTAAAGGACTGGATGGTGATTTAGATTAAGAAATTATTTCATTTCAGAAAATTTACAACAAAATTTCACTACAAAAAAATTAAAGAGCCCAAATAATTCAATTTTGTCTTTGGGTCCACTAGAATACATTTGCATGCTTTTCATAAAAAAATAGAAAAAACAAAGAAAGAAACAAAAGAACGTTCTTTTTCTCATGATCTACATTGCTGCAGCACTTCTTCTCACCCTCTGTCTGAAACGTTCCATTTCAGCTCCTGTCTCTTTAAGGTAACTCCCCTTTAAAGCCCGCTTTACTCTGATTGGTCACCCACCAAAATCAAGGAAATATCGATTTGCAGAGATATGGTTTCAGGAGAAGCTGCTCTAAAGAACAATAATGGCAGAATGCAAGAAACGTGTTCATTCTTTGAGTGTGGAGTCAAATTAGCTGATAACCAGGCATTGTGCAAACATGTTGCACTGTGATGTACATGGATACTGTAAGAAAAGCCCAGACTTCAGGCAGGTAAGGAGCAGTGTTTTCTTTGGTAGAGAATAACTCCTTTTTGTGTGAACTTTCAACTTTAGCTTTCAACTTTGTAGGACCTTTTGCATGCACAAAAAAGTTGTAACACATTTAAAGAAGGGGGAAAGAAAAACAAAAAAAAGCATAGTTGGCTCTTTAAATGCCTCTCTATAAAAAGAGATACGTATTTTTTGTGTGTTTTTAGAGTTGCATTTGTATTTATTCTTATGCACCAATTGGCTAATTTTGGGTAAAGTTTATCAAGCCATAAGTGCAGCTAGATTGCAATGTGCTTTGTTAGGCTGCAGTGTGCTGTTGTGCCTTTTTTTTTGTCATGGTTTATTGTTGCGAAGGCTCACAGAACATTTGTGTAGGGACAACACTGTGAATGTTTTTGAAAAAACAACAGTGGCACGAGTTCACAGAGCATCTGATGTAGAGGACATATTTAAACACAGGATCCAGGGAGCCGTTACAAGTATTTATTTGTTACAGATGATGATGGTTAGGTGAATGGATGGATTTCTTCCTATACTTATCAGTAGCAAATGAGTGAAAACTACATAAATACAGCTGCAGGTCAAATTACAATGTCAGCAGCAGCAAATTGCTTCATTAATAAGTAAAGTAGGCTAACAGTACTTAAACTTACTTCATTCATGCCTCCATGAACTATCTTGGTATTTCCATTTCTTAAAGGTATAAACATAGGAATCTAATCCAATACAAATAGAAGACATCCAAAATGAAATGAAATGAATGAAAATACTTCATTTATTATTATTATTATTATTATTATTATTATATAAAACAAGCACAAGGCACCTTTTATTGTGATAAATTACCCAACTAAAATATCAGAATTAGGTTAGAAAGTCCATTTTTTTAAAAATCTCTGTGGTCTTCTCTGGTCCTCTGTGCAGTGCTTTGCAGAGAAAAGTGCTAAAGGTTGGAGTTATATAACTTCTTGTGTCTAGTAGGATGTCAAGTTGTGCAGTTGGGAGTGGTGATTTCAGGTGAGGTGTTTAATCATGTAGCTTTACCAAAACGACATGTACTTGGTTTTATGCACACAGGCTTTTTAAAAAAATAATTTTAATTTTCCTGACGAAAATATTTTGGATTGATATATATTTTTATAGGGCTGCAGAGTGGCGCAATTGGTAGCACTGTTGCCTCGCAGCAAGAAGGTCGCCGGTTCGCGTCCCGGTGGGGGGATAGACTAGTGACCTGTCCAGGGTGTCCCCTGCCTTCACCCTAAGTCAGCTGGGAAAGGCTCCAGCCCCCCGCGACCCTAGTGAGGATTAAGCGGTGTATAGATAATGCATGGATTGATATATATTTTTATCTTCTGTATTGTTGCAAATGCATTGGATAGCACAGAAAGCACTTGTGCAACGATGTCAATGTGTGTTTTTTAACAACTTTGTTGCCATTGTTGGTTGATAAACTGCTAGAAGATAGTCATATGGGCCTTCTACACTGTAAAAACGAATTTGATTTAAAAAAAAGTGGAAAAGTTGTTGAGCTAAGTCGCAAGAAAAAAATCCATTACAAAATGGTGTAATACTGTCACCTCCAAAAACTGTAAAGTGAAAATAACAGCAAATGTAAATAGTAAAAAAAAATAGTATGAGTTTATGGTTCAACATTATCGATATTTACATTATTTCTAGTCTGCTTTGGGGCTTTTTTGCAGGTAGCATTTAAAATCAAATTGAATTAAATTATCATTTTTTTTCTGATTTTTACGAGTTATTATCTTTAATTTAACAACAAACAAATATTTTTTTTTGCAGTGTACACTGTAATATGTGCCTCTATAATCCAGCCTAATGTACTATTTTTCAAAAGTAAAGTTAAAACCCGGTAATTCTTTTTATCCAAAAACATAATTGTTCATTGACAGCAGACAACTGTTAAAACTGATGGTGTCAAATAAACAAAAAATGTTTACAAATCACTGTATAGAGCAGTGACTTCATTACAGTATATTATTATACTATATCATTGCACAAGAATGTAACCTACCTTATATTTCATCCTTCTTTATTTTTAAGGTGTTTTAGTAGTATATGCATTTTCAAATGTTATACAGAGTTAGTAGAACTCAATTCTTGATCATAAAGATTAAAGACACATTGTTATTTACGATATTTGTAATTTACTACAGATTAAAATACTACAAATTAGAATTTACTTTCTACATTTTACAAGAAGTAAATGTTCTAATTTGCAGGCAAGTACAGTTACAGTTAGTGTTGATTATAATGGCAATACTTTATAAATACATTATTATTTACAATATTAACAGTAAAATTAATATTCTACTGTAATCCGTTATAATTTAATCAATCGTTTTGGTAAATTGCAGGTCAAACGCTGTTGAAATACAGTAAACTACTGGTGACCACTGCTACCTGTACTGTCCTGTATCTTTACAGGAGAATGTATCACAGGATACACGTGTCTGTGTACCTGTAGGCTGTAATGATTACTATTCTGTGTGTTTGTGAACTCCCCATGAACTTTCCTCAGCTTCTCGAATAAGTTTCGCCCACAGGGTCAACTAAAAGGGAGAACACGTTTCTGGAAGAAGCAGCTGCGTGGTCGACAGTTGCTGATCGTGCTGCATCTCGACGACTAGAAGCAGCTCGCAAACCTTCACCGACCTTTTTCTTCGCCACTCTGCATCGCTCCTTCTGTCTACTAAAGCGTGAACGGCCTCCGTGTGCTGCTCTCTCCGTCACCACCACCTCCCCGGGGCTAAAATATATAAATAAATAAATAAATGTAAAAAATAAATCTCTGCTATACTGCCTTGGAATAAAGCTGCGCTCTGATTGGACAGACGCCTCGGCTCGTCTCCACTCGGCGCTCTGACGTCACTACGCCTCACACGTCCTCGCCCCGGCTCGTGACGCAGCCCGGCTCTTCCTCCTGGGCGTCCTCCTCCCCTGGGCTGTTCCGGATGAGACGCCTCCCTCCCTCCGCCCCTCTGATCCTCTTATCAGCGAGTAAGCGGCCAAGATGGATGTTGTAAACCAGGTAAGGCTTTGAGGGGGGGAAATCATCTATTTCATTGCTATTTCTGTAAATAGCTGCTGTTTTTATTTGCAATGACTCATCTAATTTTGTCGTGCGCCTTCATTCGGAGATTGTAATATATATATATATTTATTTATTTTATTTTTTATTTTGCAAAAGAGCCACCGACCTTAGTGGATTTTACGCAGCGCTTTCGAGCGCTTGGAGTCGAAATTGTACTAATTTACGCGTTTATGTAACACATAATAATAATAAAATATGTAGCTTTGTGGAGGCACGACAGAACGCCATGTAATTGGACATTTTTCTATTTTTTTTCCCACTACTGGTGCAGTCGATGTGAGAGCGCGGCCCGCTGGCAGTCCAGAAATGTGTAGGATGTCCACAGATTGCTGCAGCAATGACATTTAGCCAAGCAAAGGAGACGGCGTTAGGCCGCCCATCATCCCCCGGAGATCTAATTGATTCATATCGCTCACGTCTCAATTAGCCCGCTGTTGCTACGATAACAAAAGGGGATTCATTTCTAAGGGGCCTCGGTGTTTGCAGATAGCCGCAGTAAAAAAAAAAAAAAAAAAAGGCCGATCGGAGGACGGTCTCCCTGCATCTCTGTGGCCACGATCGGCTCGTCTCCACACACAGCTCTGTTAGTCACAAAAGCCATGCAAGGATTTTTTTTTTTTTTTTTTTTTTTTTACTCAGGGAAATGAGCGACTGTCAGGGGCAGCTCCGAGCAAGAATTCTGTCAGTACATGCGTCATCTGTTTAATATGGATGTTTGGCGTCCACAGCTGTGGAGAAACAATGAGGATGAGAGTGAAACACCATCGCTGGCGCTGATTCCTGTGCGGCCATTTATTGATGCACGCAGGGACACGCCGCCTTCTTTGCGGTGTCGCATTCACCTGCGCACAAACCTCCTCTTGCCTCGTCAACTCAAGAGAAAATATAAAATGAAATAGTAATCAAATAAAAATAAAAAACAAAAAAATCGCTGGATTCGCTCGTCAATAAATTAATAAAATGAGCGCTGTGGAGTGTGCAGCAGAGAGAGAGAGAGAGAGAGAGAGAGAGAGAGAGAGAGAGAGAGAGAGGGGAAACAATTAATCAGCTTTGTCTAATTGTAATGCTGGAAGGACCTCACACGCACACGCGCACACACACCCCAAAGCATTAGAAGCTAATATATATATATTTAAAAGAAAAGAAAAAAAAATGCTGTTCTGCACCTCCTCCAGCAGCTCATAAGTGCACAGAGACACGAGCTGAGGCAGTTCACTCCCTTTTATTCACTGGCAGATTGTTGCCATATAACAAACACCTGCAGGTGCCAGCAGTAGAGCAGCAGATCAGGCCTGTGGGCTGTGAGGCTGAGGTAATTTGGTTTTATGTTTTTAATCAGCATCATCATATCATCACGCCTGGTCCACTGAGAGCCTGGCTCTGAAGTTCACACAGTGAGAGCCAAAGCCAGTATGAAAATTTTTTTTAAAATGTTAAAAAATGGTATTTCTGATTTGTTGTGTTGACAGCTGGTGGCCCAAGGGCAGTTCACGATAATCAAACAACCTTTGGGATTCATCAAAGTTCTACAGTGGGTAAGTCTTCTGTTTTACACTACTATGGGTGATTTTTATTATTATTATTATTCTGTTTTACTGGAAATTTTAATAAAATGTTATTTTTGCATCTAGAATATGTCACAGCTCACATGGTTATTTGGGTTTTCTATATACATATAAAAAATATATATGTATGTTATCATGTCCCTTATTGTCAGATATGTGACCTTCTATGATGCAGAGGTCATGAAGCTGCATGGTGCTTAATAATGGATGTCAGTGTGCATGGTTAGGAAAAAGAAAGGCTCCCAGTTGAACCCTCTCTTGGGAGGGTTCAATGTCAGACGTCTTTTCAAGTCTTTTCTCTAAAGACACCTCCTGAAGTCTCTAAGTTACTGTGTTTAAATATTGTCAGAGGTTTATGACTGAGGAGCCTCTGTGTCCTGATGGCTGTGAGGACTGAGGCCCAGCAGCCTGAGTAGGAGACACCAGCAGGATGTATTACGTCACTGTGGTAGTAGCACTGTGTCAGTCCACTGAGGAATATAATGACAATTTGTTAAATCCTCCTCAGAGGACATGACCTCTGCATGCTAGTGCAGTTCTATATGTTTTTATTTTTTATTTTAATGAGCAGTCTTGACAAGATGATGGAGGAGGCAAGCGTTTCATTTATTGCACTGTAAAAAAAACAAAAAACAAAACGTGTTTAATTTTATACAATTTTCCTTATTTTTTATAGATTTTTTAAAAAATACATAAAAATATCAATAAAATCACAGTGATACACTTTTAATTTACATGTCTAACGTAAAATAGCATTTTAAAAAATCAATGAAATATGCATGATGTTTATGTAAAGTTACACATCAATGCCCATCATGTTTGATGTGGGCGTTGCAATTTGTGCAAGTACAAAGTATTCACTTCATAGCAGTGGTAGGTGGACATGCTTTTTTTAAAAAAACACTTAAAATCCGTCAGATACATTTGTATGTAAAGCTACATGTAAAAACTCATTACACTTGAAATGGTACAAAATTAACAGTAGATTCTTGCAATCTGAAATCAGATAGCTAGTTTTGCAGCAGTATGTAGATAATTTTTCACAAGAATTGTTACACTAAATGTAAAAAATACAAGCTGAAAAATGATGGCACTTGTGATTATTTGTATTATAACATTATTCAACCACATTTTTAGATACTTTTGTTGTTTATACACTCATAAATATCCTTCATTAAAGATTAAAATTAAAAAAAATAAGAACATGTACAATTAAGACTACAAACAGTGTTCAAATTATGGAGAATTATTATATTTTATTGAAGGGGTTATTTTCCCTTTTCAACATAACATAACATAATCAGAAAACGTATATTTTCACTGCAATATTTTAGAGGGCCACATAGGGTTGTAAATATTCTATATTAGTCAGCAGCTATGGGAACTATTCTCAAAGGTGAAGAAGCAAAAACATATATCAGCATCTCAACTTATGGCTTTTCTTTGTCGTATTCGATTGCAGATTCAATATCAAAACAAGCAACATGATGACTTCATTGAATTGTGATGAGCTTTTTTCCCCCCACTATTGCAGCTGATGCACAATTGAAAGACTGACTGATGAAGCAATGGGTACATTTTTGGATAATCGTGAATCTTTCCAGGAGCAGATTTTAGGAGAATACACATTAAGAAGTAGTCACACAGTCTCTGATATTCTTACACAATGTTTGTCCTCCATCAGCAGCAGGATGCTCATAGTGAAGAGGCTGCAGGGTTAACAGCACTGCTGCTCTATTGCTTTTTTTTTTCTGTTTACAGCTGGGACCTTACAGGGGTGGGAGTGGAGGTACTAATTACCCCTGTAAGCCCTGCAGCTGAATCAGGGCCTTATGTTATGTTATGTTATGTTATGTTATGTTATGCTATGCTATGCTATGTTATGTTATGTTATGTTATGTTATGCTATGTTATGTTATGTTATGTTATGTTATGTTATGTTATCACCTCTCATACATTTCTGTGCAATTCAAAGGGCTTAATAAAGTCCAGATGAGGTTATAATAAGACAGAACAAGTAAATGTAAAATAACACTAAATTAAAATAAATAAATAAATAAGATTTCCAAAGACAAAACAGAAAAAAACAGGTGAAACTGACAAAACATTCTAAACTCATATTCAAATAATATAGCAGAAAAATATAATAAAGTAAAAATTCTGGCAGCCAGTTAGTGTTATTGTCAGCAACCAAAATAATTTCTCGAACTGCAAGTAGTTGATTAACTGAAACAAGCAGTACCGAATCTGATGGGTTTGTTATTTTAGTAATTTTTTCAAGCTAGCATTTTATAGTTTCAGCTCCAAAGATGTGAGGATTTTATGCTTTTCTTTGTCATGCATGACAGTAAACTGAAAGTCGTACTTGAGGAGGTCAGCTTGTAAAATATCATGATGTGTATTTTTTACTATCTTCAACAACTGAAAAATCCGTTTATCAGTAATAAAACTGAGAAACTTTTTACATTTCAGTTAGAGGCCAAGTGATCAGAATCAGTTCTAATGCCAAATGAGTTTCTACTTTAGAGGAATTTGACATGGTGATTTGGTGCATAACAGCAAACACTGACAAGTGACAATCCACTGACAATCAAGGAAATTTTAGGTGATATAAAATAATAGAAATAATTATAATGTGCAGAAATGTGCACAATTTACATAGAATATGGTGAACATTAGCTCTGTGTTGATGATAACTGATCATTAAATATGCATACCATACAGTTCAGTATTTACAATGAAAACAGAGAATTCTGTTGGAAAATCTGTCCAAGTAAGAGTTTAAACAATTAGCTTAATAATCAGTTAGCGACTACTGCAATCATTTTGATAAGTGGATTATCCCTTAAGCAGGTTTTAATTAGCACCGTGTTGCTGATAATCGATCATTAAACATTTGCATGTAGTGATATTGTGTGTACTTTTTGGGAGGGAGCGAACAGATGGAATTGAGCAGAGGGTGCCCCTCCTGTGAGCGCTTCCCATAATTCCCTGCTTCTCAGCCTCACGTAACACAGCCCAGATGAAAACGTGTGTGCCAAAGCAGTGTTGACAGAGTTCCACACTGTAATGGGCTCTGCAGAAATGCTGGGGAACAGTCAGAGGCATGAGTGTACTGCATGACTCTGTAGTCCTTCCCTGGAGCTGTGTGAGTGTGCCAACACCTCATCACTGCCTGCCTGGGTCACTGCAAGCCAACCACCAATCAGCAGCCCCGCTCAGGAGGCCAGGGCCCATGAATCATCTGTCAGAGGGCCTGCGTGCCTCAGCGTCAGGCCAGAGGAGGAGCTGCTGGAGCTGCTGCTCTTTCTGGATTAATATGGGCATGCATTAGCAGCAGCACAGTGTTTTTTAGGAGGGCAGAGAGAGGAGCCAGAACTCAGATGCAGTTTTGCACATTCTAGAGCAGGAGAAGATGCTTCTGTAGAGCAGAATCAAACCTCTTCAATGCTTCTACAGAGCGCATTACACAGAGCGAGCAGTTTGTCGGCCTTCTTCATTCTCACATGTTCGAAACCGAACAGATGAGAGTGATTGGAAACGGACCAGATCAAATATGTGGGCCGAGAATGTGTGATGGTGCACAAGCTTCCGAGCACCATTTTGGTTCCATGTGTGAGATGAAAATCGTGTACTGTATGTGTGACTCATGTAGCTTGGCCCACCTCCCCAACCCCACCCTCCGCCTGTCTCTGGGGAATAGCGCTGACAAAGCCCAGATTTGATGGATGTTTGGAGACATTGAGTTCCCAAATTCAGCTGATGTCGAGCTCAGCCGCACAAACGGCCTCCTGTCTCCGCTGCTACAGGACGCCGCTGCTGTGTTGGATTTAATCTGCATTCAAATTTCTGTTCTGACTCATTTTCAGCGAGCATAAAAAGGCTGTTTGTGAGAACATGAAGTAACAGCCGTATTCACTTTGGCGTAGTCCCTAATGTGTATTAAAGGTTGTTGGTTTTGTTGTAGCTCAGGGGGGTTTTTGTGGTTCCGACACTGAGTGGATATTACTCCAGGGCCTCTGGTGAAGGCTTACACAGCTTGTGTTTATTTCTGCGCTTCTGTGCTTTGGGCTTGTATTTATTTTTATATATAATGGGCCAGTTTCTCATATATTATTCTATATGGCTATTATATAAATAGCACAGCAGCTATAAGAGAGGTGTCACCTTCATCGCAGATACATAAAGCCATCTTTCACGCCTGACAGCACCTTTTGTTTGTTGGCATCCGTAGGATAGCTCCAATATCGATCAGGCTAACTATCGGTATAGTCACTGACTTGTGGATCTTTTTTTATTTTTTTTATTGAGACACAGAGACAGATCGTTCGATTGTGTATGTTCTCAGCACAGAAAGAGCTGACAGCCATCCAGCATACCAGGAGGGGTAGAGACCAGCCTCTGCCTCCTCACTGTGTGATGCTGCCAGTCGTGTTACCATGGCACCTAACACTCAGCGTGCCACCATTTCTCTTCTCAGCCTGGCTGTCCTGCTCCTGTTTCTCCATCTATCGCCATAAAAGTACAGCTCCCAATTGTGCTACGGCACCTCACATTTAGATTCCTGACGCTGATTTTTAGCCAAGCCGGTAGTGCTGCTGTCGGTAAGGCAGTGCCAGTCGGTCCGTTGCTCTGGTCCCGACTGAAATATCTCAAGATATTAATTATGCAATGTTCTCGAGAAAGACGCTTGGAAAACTAGGTCTTTTCCTCCATAAGGTTGATATTTATGATCTTAAAATTCAGCACAGACCTTCATATTTCCCCTGTGATGACTTGCAATAACTTTGTTCGTCCCCTTGCTTTTCATACTTATTCAAGTACTTTGTTTTATAGCAAAAATTAATGACACTCCCACACCCTCTCCTCTGTGTTTAGTTCTATTTAGCCAATGTTAGCGTGCTGATGGACTAAACTAAGGTGCTGAACGTGGCAAACATTACACCTGCTGACATTAGCGTTTAGGTCACAGAGCCTCTGTGCCTAAATGCAGTCTCACAGAGCTACTAGTGAGGCGTACACTCTCAGCTGTGTCTCTTTATGTCCATGTCTTGTCATGTTTGCATACACAGACTGGACGGCACGAATAATGGTGGATTTTGAACTTATTTTGTATCATGTATTTTGTGCTGTGATACACCAATGATGTCCAAAAAGCTACATTCCCATCTGGCAGTTCAACCATTTAAGAATGTCTGCAATATTGTGAATAGTGTTTACCTTTAACTACACTGTGGAATATAAATTAAAAAAGAAAATTGTGATGGTGGTGGTGCCAGAAAAAATACTGTAAAAAAAAAAAAAGGTGGAATATTGTAACATTAAAAAACTGTAAAAACAGTAGGAAAGAGCATGTACCTTTAAAATAATTATATCTTTAGCTGATTTAAATACAGTAAATAAAAAGTGGGCTTCTATGGTGACACATTGTAAAAGATTTGTAAAAATATAAATTCTTGATGTGAAAATTATTCACAGGTTTTGATAGTTTGAGTCAACTTGTAAATGAATACTTTTTCAGGTTTTTACTGTCTGTAAATTAATAAAAACAGGGAAAAAAATCTGTAAAATAACAGTTAAAAAAATATTTACCTCTTTTTAATACTTCTAAACATTGGGGAAAAAACAGCAAATATCTGTAAAATAGTCATATTCTTACTAATATGAATACAGTAAAAAAAAAAAAAAAAGAAGTCATATTTACTATGGGACATCAATAAACAAATTACAATTTTTTTACGTGGCTATTATTTACGTATTTGTGTTTTTTTGGGGGTACATCTGTAATTGAATACTTCTTGTGTGATCTTCCGATTATATTATCTATAATTAAAGAAAAAAATAGGAAAAATCTGTAAAATAACAGCAACTTTTTTTTTTTTTTAAATCATCGTTTAGAAAACATCACATTTTTTTGTAGTCTATGTGTAAGCATAGGAAAGCCATTTTCTCTTTATCATATCAGTATGATTCAATTTTGCACGTCCCACTTGGTAAATTCCATTAAAGCAGTAATGAGGCTTGTTGTAGAGATCTTATCTTACTTACAGAATCCAGACTGAGTTTTGATTTTCTCCAAAATATCTCAGAGGAAGAAGAAGACAAAGAAGAAGACTGTTTGGCCCAGTGTACAGCTGAGACGCCACATGTTGTTGGTCTCCATTTCAGTCTTTCTCGTCTCAGAGGGACAGTGAAAGAATAATACTGGGAGCACTAAAACCTTGAAGAGTCTTAATATTAAAAGCAGTTAGTGCTATAAGACAGTTATACCAAACAGGATGAGCTGGATGGTGTATATTTTTAGAAAAGTATACAGCACACTGCTCACTGTGTGAAGGACTGTGCTTACGCTGCAGTTGCGGCACACGCTGTAGATATTGATTAATTGCACAGCTGCTGCAGCATTTGATTCTGGTATTCTGTGGGTTTGGTGTTAGAACTGCAAACACAACGTAAAGCACTTTTTTTAAATGTAATCTTATCGATCTAAATGTTGACTGGTTACTGGGGACGATGCTCTGCCAAGTGTTAAGACTATCTTGACTGAAAGAACAAAATGCAACCAAATTAGTGCATCCCCAGATATTATTTGAGCTGGATTTGGGCAGTCATAGCTCCAGTTGGATTAAAACACAATCATTTGTGGTAGATTTTTTTTGCTCTAAAGCTCCTCTGCAGATCAGAAGCATTTTTCCTTTTTGTGTAAATCTGTAATAAGTGTTGTTTATCAGTGATCTCAGCTCCCCTTTACCTCATAATGCTGCCTCTTTTGTCACATCTACATTCATTTGCATTGATTTGTAAAACCTGTTAATTAGCCTTTTACAAACAACAGGGAGAGAAGGTGTTTGAGATGCTGGGAGAGGACACTAGAAAATTGAAAAACACCCCTGCAGGAACAAAGGAAGATGAGTAAAGTGACCACAATGAGGCTTGATTTAAGCAGCCGCTGAGTGTAAATCCAACAAACGAGCCTCCTACTCACACTGGCTCAAAGATTACTGTAAATAGTTTAGTGTGTTGATGCCTGCGGCAGGTAGACAGTACTACAGGGTTGCAGCTAAGAAAGAAGTGACGTGTATATATGTGTGTGTGTGTGCCTACGAGCTCACGTGTGTGCGTGTGTGTGTTGTGGCTGTTTTACAGTAGCTTGTAGTTGAGTATTCAGTGACAGATGGTAGAGCACCTCAGTCAGATTAATAGCTGGATTTTCCATCCAATCGGATCTGGCCTGCAGCGCAGGGAGGGTGTGGTAAAAATAGTCTGACTTGTCTAATCTGCTGTGTGTGTGTGGGTGTGTGTGTGTGAGAGAGAGTGTGTGTGTTTATCTCCATACATGTTTGTTCGTGCCTGTGGCTGAATGCATCGGAAGTACTAAACAGGCAATCTCTGAACAATTGCACACGAAAGAAATACAATAAAACAAATACAGGGAAGCAACAAGCGCATAAAAAAATAAAGGAACTTTGAAAAAAAAAATGTGCCGGTTACCATGGCAACAGGTGCAGCCCTTGCTGTGTAACCTGGTGATAGCGCTGCATTGATTTGCACTCTGTGTGAATTTATTAGCAGCTCGCCATGATCGGTGGATCTTGGTCGGTCTGCTTGAGACTGTTGCAGGAGGCAAAGCGCAATCTGCAGTGTTCAGCTTTCGCCTAGAGAGCTTTGTTAACGTGGTTGCACCGTCCAAAATGAGCTGAAGTACAGCCACTATAGATATGATGAGACTATTATGGACCAATGTGTGACATGAACACTTCCATTTGTGCATTTTCTATTTTTCACAGTTTGCCCTGGACGAGTTAAAGGTTGCTTAGATGAGTTCTCATATTCTGTGTGTTCTTCTGCTTTCTCCCACAGATCTTTGCAATCTTTGCCTTCTCAACATGTGGCAGTTACTCTGGCACGTTCAAGATGAAAGTGGAGTGTAAAGACCGGCTGGCTAGTGACCTAAACATTGAAGTAGATTTTGAATATCCATTCAGGTATGTATTATGTCATTGCTGTCTCCAACATCGTTGAAAGGAGAAATCAAATTGTAAAACTATACACAAAGTCAGATTGTACATAATTTAAAATGAATCACTAGGACCCTAGTTTTGTTGCCAAGTAGTACATATACTGGATATATATTTATAGAAGCAAAATCTGATTTGGAATTTTTAAGATTTAGTTTATTCTTAGACTCTGTTATATCCGCACAAGGATGACAGTGATCCTTTTAACATTTGTTATATTTTATCTAATTATAGGGAGTGTGTCCCTGAGTTGTGAAATATACACATTTGGTGAATTAAATTAGCATATTGACATTCCTAATTTAGGCAACCATTAGCTTGATTAACAGACTTTACATGGGATGTACAATAATAAGTTCAACGCTTTGAAAATCGCTTTCTTTTGTAAGCGTTACATGACTGTCAAATCTGTCCATAAATATGAAAACATTTAGCTTGACATATGGACTAGAAACAGCTAGCTTGTCTCTGTTCAAAGGTTTTAAAAAAAAATAACAATGAAGAAGAACCTACTGAAGTGTAAAACTGCAAATTAAAGATAATTACTTTTTTACATGTAGAGTTTTAAGGGTACTGGTAAATTTTTGTTATATCTAGAAAGAGTGGGACTAACTGTTTTTACCGTTTCTAGCTAAACTAATTCTGGAAGTTACTACGTATTTACCCAACAACCACGATTAGAGAATCTTCTTATCTGACATTCAAGAAGACATTTCTCAAAATGTCAAGCCACAGTATTCTTTTAAAATATTGTCCTCATTTTTACAGTCGTAAACAATAAATAAAAACTGAGCCTGAAATCCCCAGACGAATGCACAAATTAGCCTTGAAATTCTCAGTTAATTTTCAATTCTGGAGGGGCGTTATCACAACTTGCACAACTAAATGCCTCTGGTTGCGACCTACATGCAATTAGAATAATGAAGTGTGTGTATAATGTGCAGCATATTAAACCTGCCCCATATAAATGATTGTGAATAGCTCGGGAAGGTCGCTGAGTGGAATCTGTTTGAAGCAGAAGGGAAGACCACATGAAACATGAACTATCAGATTTGGCTGGTTCCCAGCTTTAAAAAGTTTTAATATCTAAAATAAACATAAGAGAAGCTGGCTTCCTCTGTAATGAAGCGAAAGCAGTTTTTTACTCAAAATACCTGTGAAACCTGACAGAGTCGTTTTTCAAAGAAGAATGGGGGGTAAAATTGTAGTTTCCAGATGTGCAAGGTTGATTGCCACCTGTCCACACAGGCTCAATGCTGTCATTGAAGCTATAAGAAAAAATCTACTAAATGTTGCCTTAAAAGAGGGGGGCACTTATGTAATCACTTATTTTACATTTAATATATTTGATTGATTGACATTACTTTGCAGACATCCTTTCACTTTGACATGAAAGATTCAGTGTTAAAAGAGTGATAAAAAAGAAACCTTCCAAGGAGGGTGAATCCTTTTTATAGTCACTGCAGCACTACATACTTTACATTGTTACCCCCTTAATGATAACGCAGCATGTTTCACAAATATAACTGTACTACCATCTGCTATGTTTTCTCAGCTCTTCTTACACTTTTCCATCTCTCTCTCTCTTTCTCTTTCTCTTCTCTTTGTGTTGCTGTTTTCAGGCTGCATCAGGTTTACTTTGATGCCCCCACCTGCAAGGAACAAAACAAAGAACGTCTATTCCTGGTCGGAGACTACTCTTCCTCAGCTGAGTTCTTTGTCACCATTGGTGTCTTTTCCTTCCTCTACTCTATGGCAGCCCTCGCTGTATACTGTTTCGTCCTGGAGAAGTACCGTGAAAACAACAAAGGAGCCCAGACTGTGAGTTTCCCTTGCATTTCCTTGGCACACATAGAACTTCCAGTTGTTGATTATTATTTGGCAGTGATTGTAAATTTGATTATCTTGCGTTGCTGATCCCCAGGACTTTGTTGTGACGGCAGTATTTGCCTTCATGTGGCTGGTGTCTTCATGTGCTTGGGCTAAAGGCTTGTCAGATGTGAAAACAGCCACTGATCCAGAGAGGGTCATCACTCTCATCCAAGCCTGTGACGAACCAGAAAATCGCTGCAGTGAGGAATATGATCCCAAAGTCTCCGGCCTCAACACCTCTGTGGTAGGTCCCAAATGCTTCACTGAGCTAAACTATATGAGGAGTTTATCTGGGTAAGTAACTACAGGGACAAACGTTTATCTCCTTTCTGCTCCACAGGCGTTTGGCTTCATCAACCTGATCCTGTGGATAGGAAACCTGTGGTTCGTCTTCAAGGAGACTGGCTGGATGGCTGCCTTCGCTGGAACATACGTCCCATCGCAGGAGAAGCAGCCCGCCCCTGATTCCTTCGGCCAGGGAGGCTACGCACAGCAGGACCCCTATGCTGGCTCCCAGGGAGGCTACCAGCCCGATTACGGCCAGCAGGGAGGCTACAACGAGGAAGGGGGTTATAGCCAGGGCTACGAGCAGCAGCCCACTTCCTATTCTAATCAAATGTGAGCCTGCCCAGCCAAAACACAGCTGAAGGATGGTGAGTGCTAAGTTTGAAAAGAATGCAAAAGAACGTGGAGGCAATTATCTAATGTGATATTCAATTTTAAGCACAAATTAAGGGTTAAATGTATAATGACAGCAATTGTTATTCAACCTCACTCTAATGTCAAGGTTTGTTCCAGTAGTTTCCCTTAAATCAGCAAGTGTGAGCTGAGGTATAACAGCCACTCAAATGACTCTTCAGTGACATTCAAATTGGTTCAACCTTCCTAAAACTTAACTGCTCAAAATCTAAAGATATCCTGATCAACAGTGGCTTATTGATAAACAAAGAAAATCATTTCACCAGGAGGTAAAACTTTTCATCGTCAAATGATCTTTTAAGTCCATTTTGACAGACAAAGTCAGGTTCCTTCCTGGTTATCGTCGTCATGTGTAATCATAAACAAAGTATATTTTGGATTTTTGTTATTTCGACTAGTGAAGATGTTGCTTTGGAATCTGCAAAGTTGCGACTGGCATGTTTTCATTATCTTTTGACATTTTTATACCCAGAATCAAAAACATAATAGGTAGATTAATAAATAATAAAAAAAATAGTCATTGGCTGCACCCCTACTGCCAGAATCTCTGTCATATCAGCTGCAAATTCTGATGTTGTATTTATGAGGCATAAAATAAATGAGATTCTAAGCACCATAAAAACAGCAGTGTGGGCTGTAATAGTTCCTGCTGTCCAAACAGGATAGGAAGAGATCGAATCTAATGTGATTACAATGTAGGGGAATCTAGAGGACAGAGTCAGATGATTCACCAGTGTGAGTTTGCCAAACGCGTTGGGTGTCTTCCAAAGTTACAGACATTTTGAAACAAAATTCCCTCTTTTGTGTTACAATTCCTGGAATTACTGCACTGAAGTAACAAAAAAAAAAGAAAAGATTTTTGTACTACAAGGACAACTATAGAAGATACTCACTTGACTTCTGTTTGTACCAGCTGGAGCTAAAGCAACTACAATCCATGTTTTTATATCAATAAATGTCTATGACAATATATCCAGTGACGATCTAAAAACAATATGACAGTTTTCCCCCACAGTCATGAACTTTCAAAATCTGTAACTCAACTGAGCTTTACTGAGATGTAGAGCAAAATTCAGAACATTGTTTATTTCACTGGTTCATTGCACTCTCAATTTTCTCATAGTGCAGTTTTCAGCAAAAAACACTAAGAAGCTCCTGTACACTACCTCATCAAACAGCCAGCTAGTGTCTCCCTGGGATCACAGTGAAGCTTTGAGCAGCTAAATAACCAAATATTTCCCTCAACAGTCAGTGGAGATCAAAACAAAGCAAAAAAAAAGAGGAGAGAATATTGGACATGCATTATATTCTGTGGGTGACTACAAAAGAATGATAATGTCTTTTTTTTTTTTTTTTTTGTGGTATCTGCAGGATTTGAAATTCCCAGTTTGCCAAAAAATAAGAGCAGCTTAATTGCTTCATATGTCAATGTGGCAGTTACCTGTCAATCATAAGATGGCCTCACCTTAAAAAATACCTGGTATTACTGTTATTTACTGTAAATGGAACCATAATTTACAAAATTACTGCATTAACAAAGGAAAAGTAGCATCATTTTCTTATAGACTTCCATACAATCAGACTTCTTTCTGAAACCAGAGGAGTTGCCCCCTACTGACTGTTAGAAAGAATGCAGGTTTAGGGCACTTGCACATTGGCGTCACTTTTCAGACACAGAGGCTACAGCTGTCTTTAATCTATAGTCTATGGTTCAGAGGGAACAGGAGGAACAATTACAAGGATGAGTACAGCGTCTACAACAAGCATTAACCCCCTTTGGAAGTTTTGTTTTTGTCAAATAATGTCAATGAATTAGAAATATACAAGGTACAAAGCAGTATGTCGAAGTATTCACCCCCTTTAAGGCAGTATGTAGTGGAAGTGGAATCAGCCTTCCACATCTGAACACTGCAACTTTGGTTGCATTGATCATATGAGAAATGTCCTTTTCAAGTGCAGCTACAAATTCTCAGTTGGATTGAGGTCTGAGCTCTGACTCGGTCACTATAGAACATTGACCTTGTTGTCTTTAAACCATTTTTGTGTATCTTTGGCTGTATGCTTAAGGTCATTGTCTTGCTGGAAAACAAATCTTCTCCCAAGCCCCACTTCTCTTGTGGACTGCATCAGGTTGTCCTTCAGAAATTTGCTTTATACATTTTATCTTCTGCCTCTACAAGCCTTCCAGGGCCTGCTGCTGAGAATCAACATGATGCTGCCACCACCATGCTACAAATGCACACGCAGTGGGATTTGTGCATTTGGGATGATGTGCAGTGTTTGGTGTCCACCAAACAGAATTTAGTCCGATGACCAAAAAGCTAAATTTTGGTCTAATCAGACCAAAGAACCTTCTTTTAGTTGATTTTAGAGCGCCCACATACCTTCTGGCAAACTGTAGTTCAGATTTATTATGAGCTTTTTTCAACAATGACTCTCTCTTTGCCACTCCTAAGCTTTGACTGGTGAAGAACCAGCAACAGTTGTTGCATGTAGTTGTTGTTTCTCAGCCACTAAAGTGTGTATCTCCATCAGAGGAGTCATTGGTGTGTTGGTGGCCTCTGTTACTAGTCTCTTCCTTACACAATCATTTGGTTTTCTAACGACGGCCTGCTCTAAGCAGATTTACACGTGTCATATTCCTTCTACTTCATCATGCTGGGTTTAACTGTACTCCAGGGATAATCAGCAACCATATCATGACTTGGACATTTTTTTGTGTACGTCTTGGACTTGGGCTTTTCAAAACTTCTCACAGAGTTGCTTGGAGAGTTGTTTTGTCTTCATGATATAGTTATAACCAGGAGTACTGACCTTCCAGATACAGGTGTCGTTATACTACAATCACTTGAGGCCCATCTATTGCCTTCAGATGATCTCAATTTCACAGTTTGACTTTTGGCACCAATTGGTTGCACCTTTGTTCAATTAGATGAGTCACTTTAAAGCATTTTGAAGGGGGTGAATACTAATGCAAGCATTTATTTCACACTTTATATTTTCAATGGTGCAATACTAAAAAATAAGTGTACATATGCAATTATTCTTTTATATAGATTGTCCTTTTGAAACCATATTTACATTTCCCTTACAGTCAAGCTCTCATCTGCAGTGATGAGTGTCTTCTGTAAAAATAGTGACAGTGGAGGTTGTTCATCGAAACAACGTATTTATGTGACAAAGATGAAAGGACTATGACGTAGTCGTATGATAAGAAAATAGGGGTAGATGGATAGTGTACATAGCATCTGCCTTGCAAAGCAGTTTATGGCACAGCTCCCCGCTAGCTCTTTGATCTCATCCAGCTACAGTGTTCTGTGTATACTCAACCAGTTCTGTTTGCTCTTTGAGTTCCACTGCGCCCCAGAAGTCTTAAAATTACAACAAAAGAGCTTTTTAATGTAGTGCTGGGAGGCTGTAGAACACTCTACCTGACTGCTAAAACTGCGTTCTTGCAGTCCTGAAAGACTTAGAAACGTCTGTCGAGAGCCCTTAGCATCATACTGTATGTCCAGGTACACTACAGAAGCCACTGCCTTGTACTTTTAATCTGCTCTCTATATGTACTGAATACCTGCAGTTTGCCTGAAAATGCATCAGCTTTTTATTTTGACTGATGGGTTATTATTGGGATGGTGAATGACAGGAAAAATTGGATGTCACAAATCAGGCTTTAGCAACACTGGAATCAATATTTGGTGAAGATAGCTATTTATATGTAAATACCTTATTGGCAGCAATGTATTAAAGCAACCACAATAATGGTACATGCATGTTTGTTTTTAAAGAACAGGCGATCTGTCCACGATTGAAATAATCACAACTTGTCCAGTGTTTTCCTCATTCACACTTAAAGTCGCGCATTATTTAGAAAATCTGTAATATATCAGATCAGGGCTGTGCAGAAACATTCACGGTTAAACATTTTGATGAATAAATCTTAAAGTTTTGTGGAGCTAAAAATATAAGCCCCAGGGCAATTAAATATTACTTGAGTAGTAAAGGGTTTTTGCCTCACCTGATAGTAAGCTTAATTTGAATCACTCAAGTGAAATATTCTAAGACACCTGCAGCATAACGACTGGGATTTTCAACTGTCCCTGTGCAACAAGGTGGTAGGATTGATGGATCTCATAACCAAGACCACACTTGGGGCATTTAATGCTGTAAAAAAAATAACCAAGTTGTAACTGTTACTAATTCAGTCACTAATATTAAATTTTTTATTTATTTTTTGTTATACTGTCTTTACACATATACAATTTGACATTTGGTATAATATTACCTAAGAAATATATAAACATTATTGCATACATTGACATTTTCATTTCTTGGCGTTACCGTGATTAAACCGTTTCTGTATCATCTTTTAATCCCATATTTTAATCCCATGTTTTTAAGCCATAAACCCTTTTCAGATATGAGATGTGTAACATTGCTGCTTCATCAATCTCCTAAAGTGACGGCATTGTGGCATTCAGACATCGGACAATTTTGTGAAGCTAGCAGCTTCATTCACCCATACCCACTACAGCGACAGAGTGATATTTGTCATACGTGCAAGAGTGGACAGTACATCAAGTGATGTGTAATACATAATGTTGCACTTACAAACAAAAGACTAAATCTGATGTAATGGCAGCTTACGAAACTGTTAAAAATAATTATCAGCCTAGTTTATTTGTGATTTTCTAAACACTGAAAATTCTATCCATGTGAGATGATAGTCTAACTACAATTTATCCAACAGTTAAATAAAAATATTTCGAGGACTCAACCTGAGGATGGCCATTATTTAACAAATACTTAAACCGTTGTTTATGAGATGTGACCTAAGCGACAGCTCAACCTGTCCGAGGTGAAGAGAAGTGAAGAGTTTGGCTTGTGTTTGATCCTGACCGATCCTGTGTCCTTGTTAGGGATTGTTTATAATTGATTATTAAAGTTCCTGCTCCTGTTCCATGTGTGCAAATGCACACTGCTCTCTTTCTTTGGAGATGCTCATATGGGCTCTGCTGCTGTTTGATTCTGCATGTATTTAATAAACCCCGAGGAAAGACTCCTACAAACTAAACTTCCGCTTTTGTTCACACTGAAAAATGAGTAGA